TTGTAATGTGTAAGGGTTCTATATGTTTCAGTATATGTAGGAAAGCATCCTTCTGTTGGGTTGAAAAATATTCTTCTGCTTAGTTGTGTGCTTTGAGAAACAATGATAGTCTTTATTCATACTGTTATTTGATGTGGTTTATGTAATAACACAATGCTTCTCATTTTCCCTCGCTATTTATAACAGATTGGTAAAAGAGAGTATATTTATTGAAGTATACTTATGCAAATTACAAACTAATCTTTATAACCTTCACTAGCTGCCCAGGCACAAAAGATTACACGTATAGAAGCAACACCAACATAGGGTTTTACTATCTTTAGACATCATGCAGCTTATAATTCAATAAACTAGAATTCCTATCATTGAAAAAAATATTTGCATTATAATGTGTATTAATCTTTTCCTTGTGTCTGAATTTATTTAACTGTAATTGCATTCTTTAAACTCTTATTGTTTTGCCAAGGTCTCTTTGAAAAAGCTGAGAATAACGAACTTTGATCGATCTCACAAATCCTTTCAACAATAGAAATTGTGAACAGGAAAAAACGTGGACCCCTGAGAGACAAGAGGTGGCATCAGGAAGCTAAGAGGAGTTAGCATTTCCTGTCGACGATCATATCCTCCTGTAAGCTCTGTATTGATCGAATTGCCTGATGATTGGTATGACACAACAGTCAAAATACGACCAAAAATGTGTTGAAGTTACAAAAGAAGTCATTATCATGATCATAACATTTGTGAAATTCCAATTTTAAGCTGGATTTTTAAAACCTTATAACATCAACTTATTTGTCATGATCTGCATCGATTTAAATAAATTATTGGTTTCTAGGTTTTGTTCGTGAGAACGGAATCAACTAAAAGACATTTACACCATATACAGGTGATTGTGGTATGTTATTATATAAAAAAGGAAAGTTGAAGATGGAAAAACTGAAACCGCCCATGCACTATTCGGCATATTGTTTATTTGACATCTAAAGTCAGTAATACATTAACGAAGGAAACAGATATTTTAATTACTTTTATTTAAAGTTCACTAGGACATATCAAGTCAACATAAAGAAAAAAATATTGTAAATTGATTAATTTTGTGGCTTTAAGCAATGAGGTTCTGATACCTACCAAGGAGGTACCTGTTGCGACACTTGTGTTGCTTTTATGAATAAGTATGTGATCTGCGATAAACAAAAATGTAGGTTGTTAATGTCTACCTCTGCATTTAATAAGACTCCTGAAAAAATATAATTAGTATGCTCAGAAACTCTTCCTAACATCACAGTTTGGTCACGTTTGGGTTATTTGTGTTAAAAAATTACCCTATAATTATTGTTGATTACATTACTGTGACGTAGAGGAGTTATAATCCAATAAAAATCTATCTCAAAATAAATGAATTACGTTTTAAAGGTAAGGAAATTTGTGCGTTCAAAATACATCTTGTTTATTACTGTGAAACATAAGAATGTGTCAAGACCTAACAGATGTCAGTGACAGAAAAAGCACCGAACGCTAACGATGATACTGCAAAATATGATAACCGCACTCTTATTTTATATTGAAAATCGTGAATACTGAAAAATATGAATAATGGGGAAAAAAGATATTTGATCAAAATAAATATGAGAAAGAATCATTAAAAGTATGTTTTAATGTTGCAAAAGCACAAGATTTATTTTACAAACAAGAGCTGAATCTGAAAATATTTTTTAGCATGAATTATGCATTGAAATTCAAACACTTTGCCATTGAAAACAACAAATCGTTTGAAGGTGTACTTTGCTGAGATAACCTGAATTTTCTTCTTTTTTTTTTTTTAATTTTGGTACTTTTTGTCTATGTATTTTTTATTTGCAATGAAATACGAAAGACAAAAATATTGAACATATGTATATTTTTAGATATATGACATTGAAACTATGGCGGGAAAACAGTACTATTTTTCTTGAGATTTCTTTTGAAATTTCTTTATTTTAAAGCATTATCTACAATTAAACATTTCTCCTTGTTTTGAGAAGTCTATCAAAATTACAATGAATGAAAATGTGAATAGATAAAATGGGGCTAGTGGGAAAAAAATGTTTTTATGTATAAAATATTGGGAAGTTCAGTACAAACTGCCTCAACTTTATCATCAGAATAAGTCTTTAAAATGAGCATTTCTTTCTCCTCTCAAAAGAATACTTCATCAAAATGTAAGTTCCAGTCAATTTCTGTTACGCATAGGGTATAAAGTTACTGTAGCCATTTGTAAGGTCGTTTGTATTTGTAATACATTGATGTGTAATAAAAAGAACAGAGATTTGTTGTAAATGAAATAGGAAGCTAAAAGTGATACATTTTCAAGTTCTGTTAAAGAAAAAAAAATGCGGGAGCATTGAAAAAATGGGGAAAGGGTAGGGAAATGTCTTCCACATTATGTCAATGTTTTAATATAAAGTAATTGAAATCACACGAGTACCTTAGAAAATATACAGATTAGAAACATGAACTGAATTATAAGGAAACTTCTATTTCGTTTCAATTTTCTTCAAATTCTTTTTTAAATATAATTTTAAAGAAAAACGGTTTTCTCTGTTAATCAAAGTAAGGCTTTTTGGATGGTTCCCTTGTAAAATGATAAATATTTGAACTCAGTGTATACTGAAGAATACTTGAGTTATGTCAGTACAGCATTCGAATGACGTCAAAATGAAAGCTGAAATCCAAGACTGACTTCCCCATCATATCCGAAGGTGATTTTCAAAGAAAATTTTTCCCAAGTAAAGGTGAAAATCACAGTCATGTTTTGATAACATTGACATAAATCAGTGTGCATTACAACGAAATTTCTGTCAAAATTGTGAATGTCCTGTCAAGTGTGTGACTGTCTAAGTCATTAAGACGGGTTATGTAAGAAAAGGAATACTGTTATCAATAAATCTGTTGTTGTATCTGTAGCCTTTCAATCCACCTTTCTGCACAGATTTTGTACTTAGTTTAAATCATAGGTTATTTGGTTAAAATTAATTTTACAAGTACAAGTTCACTAGAGGGAATGGTGTGAGAATTGTCTTTAGAGGATTAGTATAGAAAAGTGAAAAGAAAAAATAGGAGTTCATCTTAAAATGATATGAAATAACCTTAGGGGTGCTGATGGCATAAGACCAAGATAGGGTATGGCTTTGTTTTCGTCCTAAATATTTTGGGTTAAATATGTCTTGCTTATATCCATCAACATATATATTCATCAGTAAGTGCTGTAATGGTTGTTTGATATGGTGTTACCAGAAGACCAACTATTGCTTCAAATTTTCTGGAAACTGGAAATCATGTATAGAAAGTCAAGTTTTAAATTACTGTACGTGATATAGATTGCCGTATTTAAACTATACCGCAGTCATCGGGCATGAAGTCGTTTGCGTAATCAAAAATTAGCGCTACATACCTCCGCGCCGAGTATTGTATTTATTAACGAATTCTTAGTGGTATTCATGAATTAGCGCATTGCTGTCCGCGTTGAAGCCGCTTAAATATGATGCCCGCTGTAGTAAGTACACATACAGTAATTTTGTTCATAATATGAATAGAACAATTTTAAGATTTGCAACTACACAATTAGATTAAATACATGAACATATATTTTGTTACATATGCTCCTGTGTTTCGTTTTAAACATTTCATTTTCATATTTCTGCATTTATTTAAAAATCTTGGATTAAAATCAAAACATTCTTCTTTCTAGCAGAGCAACCTTAGGACTGTGTATATAACATAAAAACGACAGGTCCCAGAGGATGTGTAGCCATATTCAAGTGATGAGTAAGGTCCATGTGTCCTCCCAATAATATACAGTATATATATATATATATATATATATATATATATATATATATATATATATATATATATATATATATATATATATATATATATATATATATATATATATATATATATATTATTTTATCAAAGTTTAATACATTATGTAAAGCGTATTGAAATACTGCATAGTAATTTAAATTTTTGAATGTAAATTTTTCTTTATTTTTCATTAAACATAAAAGTGTTGGAATTCGCGTAACACGAATTCTTTGTTTTATTAAAACAACGAAAAATCAAAACAGAGAATTATTTCCCAAGCATAGTATATAATATTTGTCATTTTGGTTTTCCTTTACGCTCTTAGATAAATGACATTTTGCGTCTTTCCTTACATTTTCTACATTCTATCTTTTCCATGAGGATCTCCGGTTCAATATTTATGTCCACAACTTATACTGATAAGTGCAGTCTGCATTTAACTTCTCTCACAAAATGCCAATAGACATGGGGTCATTAACATTATTGATAATCGCATTTACAATACTCTTCTCTGTACCGGAAGGTAAGTTTTTATCTATATCTTAAACAGTAAGTTTCTTTTAAGAACTGAGAAAAAAGATATTTTCCATTCCCCATGTTTTTGTCAGGAAACACCATGTTTCTGACATTAAACTATCTTCATCTCGAGTGATAGGAATATAAAATATTTTATCAAATTGCCACTACGTATAATATGTTTTTGTAATTAATTATTTGGAGATTTTTTTTTTCTCGAGTTTACTCATGAAAAAATTCGATTCAATGATGAATACATGTACACGTACTGCATATTAATTTAATCCATTAAGTAAAAAAAAAAAATAGTTTGATTTTATTAACCTACTTTTGCACATATTGGTATTACATGTACAGCTTTTCATTTATTTTCATACATTGAAAGCATGAACAGTAATAGGAATGTAAAATGTTTTAATTTGCTACTATGTAGTATATGTTATTTATCAATACTTGAGGATTTTCTTTTTCTTGTGTTTACTCATAATGAAAACAAAAACATGCTATTTTCGTACTGTACATGTACACGTACTACATATTAATTGAAATTATTTAGAAAAAAAACTAGCTTGTTTTTAAAGTACTTTGGCACATACTGGTATTGCATATTTTTTATTTATTTTCACACAATTAAAGCATGTGCAGCAACTTTTAAGTTCTCCTCCTACTATCATGACCACATGGTGTTGCAGCAAAGTTTTACCGGGACAAGCATTTGGGGACAGTCAAGCAAAGTTGGTGACGTAGTCCACATACAACTTAACAACAATGAGGTTGCCTTGACGACTGTCAATAGTGATCATATATGGGAAGCGAAGTTTACAAGTCCTAAAGATCATGGTCCATATAATGTTTCTGCAACATCAAGTCTGGGGACTGTTGAGATCTCGGATGTTCTTTTTGGTGACGTATGGATTTGCTCTGGACAAAGCAATATTGAGTTCGCGACTTTTGGGGTAAAACATCGATATTGTTCAATCCAAAAGTAAATGAATTTAAAAATAAAAGAATAAAATACAATCAAATTTATCAATTTAGTTTTTTTTTTTTGTTCATAACAGCTTTTGAATGCAACACAAGAGTATGCAGCCAGCGTAAACTATCAAAGCGTCCGTCTGTTCCACGTGCATAGAGAATTTTCATCATCACTTTATACAGACGTTAAACATATAGATGCAGCATGGCTGAAACCTAATCCGAGTAAGTTAAACAATTCTATTGATGGTATAATTCCATATTTTTAATGCTATGGTTAGTGAAAGGTTTTGTTACATATTAGGCATACGCAGCAACATTTATGATTTCATTTTCTATTCTCATGCGAGAGTTACGTGTATTTGTAAAGCGAAGCAGGTGAGCAAATAAGGAATATTACGGCATACAAAAAGTCTAATCTATTGTTTAAAATAAAATATATAGGCGATATTTAATGTAAATGGCAAGAGGCATTTCATGGTAAACATTATTTTTAGAGAGTCTCACAAATTATTCAGCCGTTTGCTGGCTATATGGCAAATACTTATCACAGCACTTCAACTATCCAATTGGATTGGTTGAGACAAACTGGGGCGGTACAAGGATAGAGACCTGGTCTTCATCGGATGCTTTATCTGCTTGTTCAGGAGTGCACATTCATCGAAAAAGGTTATTTCTTCTTTTCTGTCCATGTTTCAACTGATATATTTTATGAAATAATGTTTATAATATCAAAATATTCAAAAATGATATTTATTTTGACAGAAATGTTAAAAGATAGTATAATCTATTAATTATAATTTACTTGATCTCTTGTTATAGGGATTTTATTTACAATGGTACAATGTACAATTCTATGTTGTACAATGCTATGATTTACCCACTTCTCAGAAATACGATCAATGGTGTCATCTGGTATCAAGGTATACTTGTGTCTCATTTAGCAACAATTTCAAGCTGTCATAATTTCATATTCATCTGCTATATTTGATTTCTCCTATGCAAATGAATTCTATTTTAGTATTTAGAATGAAAAATATGCTATGTAAATAGAGATTCAAAACATTTTTACAAGGAAAGGATTCTTGTAAAATCTGATGTCATAACAGAACACTTTCTCTTGTCAAGGGGAGTCAAATGCTGGGGATGCGTATCAGTACTCCTGTCAATTTCTTGAAATGATTCGGGACTGGAGAGGAAAATTCAATGCAGCATCTAAAGGAACGACAAATCCAGCATTTCCTTTTGGATTTGTACAGGTACATAGATTGCATAGATAAGTACATGTACACATATACATGTACATACATGTACCGTGTATCTATTCAAATCTTGATTCTACATTTTATTGTTCGATATTTACTGCTTTTCAAAAATTAGTTGCAGGAATCATTCTTTTGTCAAATTCCCATAAAATATATCTGTATAAACCCATATTACAACGTAAAAAAGAGAACACTCTCGATTAACCCTTTGCTTAGCTGCTTGGAGCTTTTTGACATGTGTCAAAGGGGATTGCGGGAGTCTAGCATAGTAGCTGTTTAAGGTACTGGGTAGTTAACTTTTGACACATGAAAAATATTTGATTGCACTTGAATTTCATATTACTGTATAATCACATGTTTTCGCGGTGTCAAATTTTCGTGGTTTCAGGAAAAACATCGGTCCGTAAGGATTTGATTTGGTGGTTGAAGAATTGTTCAGTAGTAATATATGTGAAAAATTACATTTCGTGGTGGACATAAATTCGTGGGTCTCTTCATACCTTGAAAACAGTAATTCAAATATAAAACAAAAAAGTATTAAGTCTATTTCAGCCATTATGTCAGTTAAGCCAAAGAAAATTGGTTTCGTGTGAGTGTGACTGAATAATATTTATAAAGTTTATATTATTGCAATGAAAGTAGAAAAAAATGCGTAGCTGAACTTCTTAAGATAAATGTCATGGAGCCGCCAGTGTGGCGCAGTGGTTAGAGCGTTTGCTCTAGAGTCGCAGAGTAAGATGTTGATCTTTATGTCGCGGGCTCGAATCCCACAGCGGGACGTGGAGACCGGTCATTCGGTTGAGACCGTATAAACTGAGGTCCTGTTGAGAATGATTGCTTTATGCTTTTTCCGATACATATGTAAAAATGATTTTAGAAAATAAAAAGGCGTTAATAGGCCTTCCTGCTAAAGAATTTGGTAATAAATTGTAATATCGTTTAAATTTGTTTATTCAAAATTGTACTGAAATATTTTACACAAAGCACAAAAAAACATTAATAGATTTACTTTTTGGAACATTATTTCCCTTTATTTCAGTTGGCACCGTGGAGAGAAGGGGAGACTAGTCTCGACTTCCCACAACTCCGCTGGGCACAGACAGCTAACATCGGATACGTTCCTAATTCTCTTCTTTACAATGTATTTATGGCTGTAGCTATCGATCTACCTGACTTCCAATCACCCTACGAAAAGTAATCTTTTGTCTTCCTCTCACTGTAACTTATTCAACAATCATTTGTCATATTAAAGGGTTTTTTTAAATAATGGATTTTTTATCAAGAATCAGATTCAGTTATACAGCTGTATTTCTTGTTCTCTACTTACCTTTCCCAATTTATTATATAATAACTTCACAAAAAAATATCTTAGGGAAAAGAATTCATTAGCCTTCGTAGTATCCAACCACATAGTATATGTATTTTTTCTCATTAGGGACAAATTATTGCCTCCTCGAAAGTTTAATGACTTTCTCATACACAACAACAAACTTGGCTATTCCCATCAAATCTTTTCTATATAATCATATAAAAATATAATACATAGGGACAGTTGCTGAGAATGAAAGTAAAGGATATGTACATCTCATTTTTTCACTTTTTGCTCGGTAACAGTATACATCCGAGGTACAAACATGCCATAGCCTACCGCTTGTATCTTGGGGCCCTGAGTGTGGCCTATCATGAGAGATATGTGGACTTTGAGGGTCCTTTTCCTACCTCTGCTGTAGTTGACAGAACAAACCTCGATCTCACTATAGAGTACGGTCGCGGACTAACTCCTATTGAAATTAGAACAAACAGTGGTTTTGAGGTAAAAACAAAAAACATCAACATTAATGTTTTAAGAACCCTCTATACACTACACACTAAAGAGTTCTGATTATGTGGTATTTTTATGTAGATAGAGTGATCTTCCCTTTGATCAAGAATAAAGTAAATTGGAATGTACAGTTTATTATTTAATTTTTGATCAAATCAAGCATTCATAACACTTTAATAGGCCAAGATGAATAAATAGAACACTTAATTTGCTGGTATTTTGCCCACTGAAGTAAACAACAGTAATTTCTGTTCATCAGTACTTCATTGTCTTTGAACATTTTTCCTGTGGGTAAATGCAAGGCACCCTATGTTAAAAATGTGATAGATAAGCTCAGTATTTACATCTTTACACACCATAATTTTCTCAATGCCCAAAAAATATTTTCTTCTAGTGTATAGAGGGTCCTTAAATAAATAATTCTCCCTTGTGTAGAGTAAAAGTTATGAATGACGCATATTATTCTAAAATAAATTATGGAAAATTTTTTAGGGGATAAAGTAATCTTATCGGATTTAAATTTAAAATGCATTGCCTAATTTAGAAATAAAGACAAGGAATACACCTTTTTTTTACCTTTAAAATTCAAATAAGTATTCTTTTTTTCCTTCTTAGGTGTGCTGTGTAAATCATGCAACACAAATTTGCAATCCATATGACACCCACTGGATTAACTCTACAATTAAGTCACATGACTTTGCCACTTTAAATCTAGATATTTCATCTTGCAACCATGGAAGTCACGTGGTACAGGTCCGATATGCTTGGCGGGAAAGTCCTTGCGCTTTATATCACTGTGCAGTGTACGGAAAAACTAACAATTTGCCAGGACCTCCATTTACCTTACATGTTAGCTCGTGAGGTTGCAAAGAAACAAGGATAAATTAACTTTCGAGTCATGCATTTTAATAATTTCAATTAAATTGAAATCTTAAATTGCTAAAACGACCTTAACATATACATGTAGTGAAATGAATTATATGATTATTAACCCTGGTTTTAAAAAAACACAAAATGTTTACAACACCTTACAACACCTTATTTGTTTAAGGTAGAAAGAAAATAATGTTAGCAATAGTTAGATGTAAATGACTGCAAATATAGACAAATAGCTTTATATATTTTTTTTATTCATTTGTAATAAAATTTTCTTTTGTACATCAGTGGGAAAATACAGCAATGTGTTATAGTTGCTCATCAAAAGTGAAAGTCACGGATCCTTCCGGTCCGATTTATGGAAAGAAATACTTCTGACGGCTAATAATTATTATTTGGAACAACATGATTTTTAACCTTATTTGAGTATGTTGAGTCCGAAAAAATATGCTGGCCTTCGTCAAAATTGCGATTAAAAGGTCAAAATGGCTATTCAAATGGCTGACATCCAATTTTGTTTTTTTTTTTTCAATTATCTTTTAATGTTGTTCATGATCAAATATGCGAAAGAATGTGTGAATATCTTATTGTGTAATGAAAATATAAAAACAATGATAGAACACTTAAATTATCACTTTATATTATAAAATTTCATTGTTTTCATATTTAATTCGAATTTTCTTTTATTTTCGTTCTATCTAATGTTTCTAAATCTTCTTTGTTTAGGATTTTATTTTTCAAACAGCCATACATTGCAGATTGGTATGCATTCCTCCACACCTCACTTTTCTACAACTGATGGTGCAGCTGCAAGATATAAAATTTAAGAAAAATCTCTGCAATTGCCTGTTCAAATGTTTGCAGAAAACTACCAAGAACATTCACTATTTTGATCAGTTAATTTTCCTTTCCCTCAAACTTCTGTAAGCTCATTGTTGTCTCTCTGCACCTTCAGGTTTCATTGATATGTATTACATCATGTCAATGAGTGAAGCGTATTAATATTAAATAAATGTTTCTGAAGCTCTGGAAAGATAAATTTATTGCCAAAACAATATAAACTGGAATAATTCTAGGCTTTAGAAAGGTTCGAGCCGCAATTTACAGGGTCTATTTCTGGAAAATTAGGAATAAGATATACGTTATGCTAGTATGACATCAGCGCCAGAGGTGGAAGAGGATAGTGAAGAACAGTGTACTGCTTGAAGAACTAGTCTGCTTCTTCACTTTTCCCCTTTAGTGCAGAATAACTCAACCAATATCATCCTCTCATTTCACTCAATTTTCAACCCTTAACTCACCCCCTCCCTACCACACACAGCGAGCGGTACATGTAACAATGTTTTTGTCACCCGCTTTCTCGAAAGCAAGGGGATATTTAATCTCGTTCGACTGTCCGTGTGTCAGTCTGTCAGTCTATCAAAACTTTTTTACCTTGCTCATAACTTTTGAATGAGAAGAGATAGGGCTTTTATATTTCACATGTACATTACCTGTGACAAGTCCTTTCCATATTTAGTATGATTTTTGACCCTGTGACATTGATCTCAAAGTTTGACCTACTTTTCAAAAATTTTAGAATTACTTTAAATTGGTCATAACTTTTGAAAAAGAAAAGATAGGACTTTCATTATGCATATTACCTGTGACAAGACCTTTCTAAGTATACTATGATTTTTGACCCTGTGACCTTGACATTTGACCTATTTTTCAAAAACGTTATCTTTCCTTATTACTTTTGATTAAGAAAAGATAGGGGTTTCATATTTGAAATATGCCTTACTTGTGACAAGATGTTTCCGAGCATCGCTATGATTTTTTATCTTGACCTTGACCTTCATGTTTGACATAATATTCTAAAATTTTAACTTTGGCGATTTCTCTTGAATGATATATGATAGGGCGTTTATATTTGAAACAATATGCTCATTCACTAAGACAAGAAAGCAGGGGAACATTATTCTTTGAATTTGCTTGTTCATAATGGGTTTGGAGAAGATTTTGTAACATTTTTTTCCACCAAGGTATAGCAAAGTTAGAAAGAAGAGGAATTTCCGTATTTTCTACAATCCTTCTAAATGGTTGGTGCCCTTTTGTTCTGAGTGTTGCTGATTATATTGATTAGTCCCGTTAACGATCAAACATAAAATTTAGAGAAGTTCGGGGGTTTTCTGGAAATAGTTGAAACAAATCCAACTTATGAGTTTCAAGAGATTTTCATCATATTTGACTGTGTTCTAAAGTTCTGAACCAATATCTGTCCAACTAAATCGAAGCTGCTGAATCGCTGTCATTCTCAACTAGCACTCAAATTTCAACAACCCTCAGCACACCATCCAGTATACATGTACTTGATTTCTTTCCAGACTTCATTGAACCCTTTGTTTTTGAAAAAGGCACTTGTAGGAGCCCGTTATTTTTTCCTCAAATCCCCTATTCTAGCTTGGACTGTTCAAAGAACAACATATTCATGTTCAAATGTAAAAGGACTGTTTTTTTTACCAAAACTGTAGGCAAAAAGAAAAAAAAATCTGTCTGATTTGACAAGTAGCTTTCTCCTTTGTGACCATAAAGATTACTTTATCTTTCTTCAATGGGAAAGTCACTTTTTCCCATAAACAAGAAAATTCTCAACTTCCTCATCTGCAATCACGTCATATGCTTTTTTTTGGTTTAAAAAAATGTGCAATTTAAGAGCACCTGCAGATTCCTCGTGGTTCCTACTATATCAAGTACCACCTTTCTTACCGAAAGGCTTCAGTTATTCTTGACTTTCGTGACTTTGATCTGCAGTGAAATGTTCCAACACTTCTCTAGAGATCAAAAAACTCCTTGTTGGAACTCTTTAATAACTTTACTAGGCGACTTCATACACACTACTTTACTGGCATAGTGTATGGTTGTATCAAAAGAATCGAGAAAATAAACACAAATAACTTTCTCTTTCAGTTTTTTTTTTTTTTTTTTTTTTTTTTTTTTTTTTTTTTTTAATAAATTTCAAAACAAAAGAAAACAAATTCGATCCGATTATGACAAAATCAGCATGTTTCGATTTTAAATAAATATGATTCCTTAAACAAGGGATTTTACACTCGCTCGAATTTAAATCTAACAATAAAAGTTTATCTCTTTACATTACATATTTGTGAATGATTCACATTTTTGTTGGCTATGGAAAACAAATGTAGGGACGCAGAATCGGCTGAGCTGGGCAGTGATGAATATATATTTATGCTTTACGCATATTATACTGGTTTTGATAATCCTCACTTATGTTTATAGATATTACATTCAATTTTATTTGATTAAATAATTCCTAGCTCTCTGATTGGTTGCGATCCATTATTATAAAAATCATACTAAATTATTTTGCACTAGACCTTCCAGGTAAATATTAACATTTATTATTTTCTTAACTGGACTAAAAATAGATCACGAAATTCCAACAAGATGATTTAGCAACCCTCGAAACACATTATCTTGTACTGGAAGATGGATTTCTTATGCCATCTTTGACGAGGTCCGTTAAGAGTATTAAATCATTCTTAGGAAATGCAACGTGCTATAATTTTTTTTTTTAATTGTACTTATTGTTTGATACCCATACATATAACATTAAATCGTACGCGTATAGATACTACGCATTCAACATTTTTGTGAATTTCACCCGTCGACGATCAATATTGTCTGTTTCTTCGTTTAATAGAGTGCTTTCATAATTCAGACGATAATAATAATGTTTTAACAGAAGTCCCTTGAAGAATCAGATTCAACATTTATATGAAAGTATATTGATTGATTGTACGTTGTTTAAGAATTTTTCTCACATAATAGACGTCACCACATACAGGTGAAGGGCTTCTAATTTTTACCTTTACTCGGCACTCAGGGTCACTGGGCACTGAGAGATCTTTATCCCTGCCGTGACACAGGACCTCGGTTTTTAAGGTCTTGTCCAAAAAACCCTCAACTTTCACTTAAAAATGCCGAGTGCTTGGCGAATGAACAGTTGCTGCTTATTATTTGTAGAGTTAGGTCAGTGGCGGCCGGGATTTGAACCCATGACCTCCCAATCACAGAGCGAGCGCTCTACCGACTGAGCTCTCGCCAGACAGTCAACATACCAGTAAAAGATCGGTAAGTCTCACAATAATAACCGTCCGTAAAACCTGCATAATTCTACCTTGTTTATCTAGATGAGGTTCCATGTGACAAAAAAGCCAATTCCATATTTGATTCGTCAAGTTTACACTTGTATCTTTATATGACATCTTTTACAGAAAATATTTCCTTTTGTATTTGATATAAATCTGTTAAGATAAGTGTTTTATCCAGCTTTAGTATTTACCGTATAGAAATAGCACAATTTTCTCTATATAGCGCTTCAAAAAAATAATAATCCCAACTTTTTAGTATTCAATCCTTTAACTTATACAGTAAAACACGTTTATAACGAAGTGCCAGGGACGGGTGATTTTGCTTCAATATAAGGAAATTCGACATATCCGTTACTTTCACAATATGTTTGAGACCAATGAGGAATGAAAATCATTTCATAATAAGGGTAAATTCATTATAAGCATGTTCGCTAGAAGCGTCTTTTGCTGTATTGAGTTCAGGTATTGATGATTCATACATGTACTAACACATTTGTACGTGTATTACATGAGCCAAATTAGATATTGATATTTAAACCATATTAACCTCATGTAAATACAATATTTGTTTAAGAACATATTGTCAAATTGATAGAATATAGATAGAGCTCACATAAACAATCTGGGTTTTTCCCCCTTTTTTACGTGTAATATTCAAGGGAACAATATGTTTCAGTATATGTAGGAAAGCATCCTTCTATTGGGTTGAAAAATATTCTTCTGATTAGTTGCAAGCTCTGGAAAAAAGTGAAAACCTTTATTTATACCTAAATTCGATATGTTTCCCTTATTATCTATATCAGATTGTTAAAAGAGAATTTATTCAAGAATAGTTATACAAATTATAAAATAATTATATAACTTCTTCACTAGCTGACCAGGCACAAAAGATAATACATTTAGAATCAAAAACTAAGATGGGGTTTTACTGTCTTTAGATAGAATAGTTTATAATTCAATAAGCTAGAATTCCTATCATTGAAAATACCTTTTTATTATAACGTGTATTTATGTGGTTTTATATATAAAATCCTATCTTTGTGACTGAATTCATATAACTATAATTATTACATTCTTAAAACTCTTATTGTTTTGTCATAGTCTCTTTGAAAGAGCTGGAAAAATTATCTTTAAGTTTGATCAATCTCATAATTCATCGAAACAAAAGAAATATGAACAGGAAAAACACGGAGCCTCTGAGGCACAAGGACAATCGAGACAAAAGAAGTGGCATCACGAAGCTGGGAGGAGTAAGTATTTCTTGTCGACCCGACATATCCCCCCCCCCTCGTAATTTCTGTATTGATTGATTGGTCTAACAATTCGTTATGACACATCAGTCAAAATAAGTCCAAAAAAAAGAGTTGAACTTACAAACGAAGTCATTATCACGACAATATTATTTAGGAAATGTCAATTTTAAGTTGGATTTTTTTAAAACCTTGTAACATCATCAATATTTTTGTCATGATCTGCCTCGTTTTAAATAAATGATTGGTTTCTAGATTTTGTTCTTGAGTACGGAATCGGCTAAAAGACAGTTACACTGGACATACACAGGTGATTGTGGAATGTTATTACATAAATAAGGAAAGTTGAGGATGGAAAATCGGACGCCACCCGTGTAATTCGACATATTATTTAGTTGCCGCCTATAGTCAGTAATACATTGACGAATGAAACAGATATTTCAATGACTTTTATTTAAATTTCCCTTCGACATATCAGTTCAACTTAAAGAAAAAGATATTGTAAATTGATTAATTTTGTGACCTTAATCAATGAAATTTTTATACGTAGCAAAGAGGTACCTGTTGCGACACTTGTGATGGGTTTTTTATGAATTTGTACGTGATCTGTGATAAATAAAAAAGAAAATTGCCATTGTCTAACTGAGTATTTAATAAAACTCCTGAAAAATATAAATAGTATATTCAGGAGCTGTTACACACATCACAGTTTGGTCATGTTTGGGTTGTTTGTGTTTAAAAAATAATCCTATAATCATTTTTAATTACATTACTGTGACGTAGAAGAGTTATAATCCGATAAAAATTCGAGCTCAAAACAAATGAATTACGTTTTGAAGGTAGGGATATTTGTGCGTTCAAAATACTATTTGTTTATTACTGTGAAACATAAGAATGTGAAGACCTTATAGATGTAAATGACAGAGAAAGCACCGAACGCTAACGTTTTTACTGCAAAATATGCTAATCACAATCCTATTTGATATTTAAAATCGTGAATACTGAAGAATATGAATAAGGAAGAAAACATATCGTGAAATGAATGTGAGAAAGAATCATTAAAAGTATGTTTTAATGTTGCAAAAGCACAAGATTTATTTTATAAACAAGATCTATACCTGAAAATATTTCTTAGCACAAATTATGCATTGACATTCAAATAGTTTGCCATTGAAAACAACAAATCGTTTGATGGTGTACTTTAATTGCTGGGATAACCTGAAATATATATATATATATATATATATATATATATATATATATATATATATATATATATATATATATATATATATATATATATTAATTTTGGTACTTTTTATCTATGTATTCATTATTTGCAATGAAATACGAAAAACAAATATTGAACACATTTATCAGATATATGACATTAAAACTATGGCGGTAAAAACAGACTTTTTGAGATTTCTTTTGAAATTTCTTTCTATCAAAACATTATCTGAAATTAATTTTTCATCTTAGTTTTGAAGTCTATCAAAATTACAAAGCATGACATTCTGAATAGACAAAATGGGCCTATTGGGCAATTATTTTTTTTTTCTGGATGCATAAAATATGAGAAGTGCAGTACAAATGGCCTGAACATGATCATCAGAATACATTTTTAAAAGAATACTTCATCAAAAAGTACGTTCCAATCAATTTCTGTTACGCATAGAGTATAAAGTTGTTGTAGCCATTTGTAAGGTCATTTGCATTAGCGTATAAAGTTATTGTAGCATTTGTAACGTCATTTGTATTTGTAATGCATCGATGTGTGATAAAAGGAACAGAGAATTACTGCAAATTAAATAGGAAGCCAACAGTAATACATAATTTTAAGTTCTGTGAAAGAAAGAAAATGCAGGAGCATTGAAATAATGAGGAGGGGGTAGGGGAATGTCTTCCACATTATATCAATGTTTTAATGGACAGTATACTGAAATTACATGAGTACATGAAGAATATAGGGATTAAAAAAATAAACTAAAATTGTACAGAAGTTTCTATTTAACGTTGATTTTCTTCACATTCTTTATAAATATAATTTTAAAGAGAAAAGATTGCCTCTGTTAATCAAAGTAAGGCTTTTTGGATAGTTCCCTTGTAAAATGATAAAGATTTGAACTCAGTGTATACTGAAGAATACTTGAGGATTGTCACAACAGCATTCGAATGACGTCAAAATGAAAGCTGAAATCCAAGACTGGTTTCCCAAGCATATCAGAAGGTGATTTTGAAAGAATATTTTCCCCAAGTAAAGGTGAAAATCACAATCACGTTTTGACAACAATGTCTGAAATCAATATGCATTACAACGAATTCTCTGTCAAAATTGTGATTGTCCTGTTAAGTATGTGACTGTGTAGGACATTAAGATGATGCTTATGTAAGAAAAGTAATAGCGCTGAATGTCATTAAATTTATTGTAGTACTCTGTAGCCCTGAATTTTACAAGTTACAAGTAAAAGGTAACTGAAGGGAACGATTGAAGATTTTTCTATAAATGATTAGTACACAGAAGTGAAAAGAATAAGAAGTTCATCGTTAAAATGAAAAAATAATAGAGGAGGGATGCTGTTTGTGTAAAAACAAGATAGGATATGGCTCCCTTTTCGTCCTGATTATTTGGAGTTAAATATGCCTTGCTAATTTCTCAAAAATAATTCATCAGTAAGTGCTTGAATAATAAATACCCTGTAATTATTGTTTGATATGGTGTTACCAGAGCACCAACTATTGCTTCAAATTTTCTGGGAATCAGCTATAGAAAGTCAAGTCATAAGTAAATTTTGTCCATAATATGAATAGAACGATTTTCAGATTTGTAACTGCACAATTAGATAAAAGTTATGAACATAATATATTTTGTTATATAATTCCCTGTGTTTTGATCTTGTTAATCTCTTAAACATTTAATTTTCATATTTCTGCATTTATTCAAAATTTTTGAATTAAAATCAAATGCATATAATTTGATTATATGAAATGAAAAAGTTCATGTACTTTCTTCCTTGTAGCAGAACAACCTTAGGGAAGTGTATATAACATAAAACCGACAAGTCTCAGAAGATCGATGTGTACACATAATCAAACGATGAGTAAAGTACATATGCCTGGCAACAATTAAAGAATAGTTTTCAATAGACATATTGCAAACAGTATTCAATGGTAGTAGAAGAAAATCAACGCTTCTCACGTCACAAAGAGAAAGAGTGAAAATGAGATTTTTTTTTCCATTTGATCAAATTTTGATAAATTATATTACTGGATAGGAATTTGAATTCATGAATGTAAAATTTTGCTTATTTTACAATGAGCATCAAATCGAATGGGTCAGAGTTCGTGCAACACGAATTCGGCTTTAGTAAAACAAAGCGAAAAGTCAAAACAGAGAGTTATCCCCAATGCATGGAAAAAATATATGTCTTTCTTTTACACTCGTAGATAAATGACATACGTCGTTCCTTACATTTTCTACATTTTACCTTTTCTATGAGGATCTCCGGTTCAATATTAATGTCCATAACTAATACTGATAAGGGCAATCTACATTTAAATTCCCTCACAAAATGCCAACAGACATGGCGTCATTAACATTATTAATAGTCGCATTCACAATAGTCTTCTCTGTACCGGAAATAGGTAAGTTTTCATATTTATCTTAAACAGTAAGTTTTTTTAACAACTGAATAAAATAAATATTTTCCATTTTCCCCGTGTTCCAGTCATTAAATTATCTTCAGCTCCCTGTTTCTGACATTAAACTATCTTCATCTCGAGTAATAAAAATATATAATGTTTTACTTTGCTATTACGTAGTACATCTTTTTTTTTTTTTTTTTTTTTTTTTTGTTAATTATTTGAAGATTTTTTTTCTTGTGTTTATTCATGGAAATGTATATGTAAACGTACTACATATTATTTGAATCCGTTTAGAAAAAAAATTGTTTTTTGTTAACGTACAATTGTGCATATTGATGTTGCAGTTTTTCATTTATTTTCATAAATTTATAGCAGGCGCAGCAACTTTTAAGTTCTCCTCCTACTATCATGACCACATGGTGTTGCAGCAAAGTTCTACCGGGACAAGCATTTGGGGTCAGTCAAGCAAAGTTGGTGACGTAGTTCACATAAAACTTAACAATAATGAAGTCGCCCAGACTACTGTCAATAGTGATCATATATGGGAAGCAAAGTTTACAAGCCCTAAAGATCATGGTCCATATAATGTTTCTGCAACATCAAGTCTAGGAACTGTTGAGATTTCTGATGTTCTTTTTGGTGACGTGTGGATTTGCTCTGGACAAAGCAATATGGAGTACATGACTTTTGGGGTAAACTATCGATTTCATTCAATCCGACAGTAAAACAAATATAAATGAATCAATTAAATGCCGTAGAATCCATTGATACAAAGATTTATTTGTTTCCAAACAGCTTTTGAATGCAACACAAGAGTATGCAGACAGCCTAAATTATCAATCTGTACGGCTGTTTCATGTGCATAGAGAATTTTCAGCATCGCTGTATACAGACGTTAAACATATAGATGCAGCATGGTTGAAACCTAATCAGAGTAAGTTTAACTCTTTAGAAAAGGACATTTCGAATAAAGGATTTGACTTTGGTATCTTGCTTGCAATAATATGATGGAGATATCCTACCCTATTGATGGTAGAAAATGTTACTATACTCCATGATATTTAGTGCTAGGGTAAGGTTGCGATACATTTTAAGTATTTAAGCATAATTTGTGACTTTTCCTGTGCTGACTTTCTTCTCTTTTGAAATGACAGTACTTTGAGAAGTAAAGCAAGTAAGCAAGCTAGAAATATCACGGCCCAAAAAAGTCTAAATTATTGATAGATATAGAATATGCATATAAAATATCAAGGGGAACAGTTAATCCAATGTTAAGTTACTTTCAGAGAGTCTCACACAATATTCGGCCGTTTGTTGGCTTTATGGGAAATACTTGTCACAGCACTTCAACTATCCCATTGGATTGGTTGAGACAAACTGGGGTGGTACAAGAATAGAGGCCTGGTCGTCACCGGATGCTTTATCTGCATGTTCTGGAGCCCAAGGTCGGCGAAAAAGGTACTTTCTTTCTTTCCTTTTGCAACTTTCGTGAGATGAGATAAAGGTTACCAGAGAAACAGTTTTGAATAAAGTTTATTTATCCAAAAGTGTTAAAAGATACTATAATCTAATATTTATAATTTTACCTAATCTCTTGTTACAGGGATTATAATTCAAATAGCCAGCTGTACAATGCTATGATTAATCCACTTCTCAGAAATACGATCAAAGGTGTCATCTGGTATCAAGGTACACTATTATTTAGCAAATATTTCAAGCTTTTGCCGACATGTCATAATTTCACATTCATCTGCTATATTTGATGTCGCCTATTCAGATTAATTTTATTTAGAGTGAAATATATGCTGCTTTCTGGAATTTCCCTGCTAACTACTATTAATTTTGAAAGGTTTTCTTAAAAAGATGTAAAAAAAGCTTTAAAACACTATTACAAGGAACACATTCTTTTAAAATCTAATGTCATAACAGAAAACTTTCTCTTGTCAAGGGGAGTCAAATGCTGGGCATGCGTATCAGTACTCATGTCAATTTCTTGAAATGATTCGAGACTGGAGAGGAAAATTCAGCGCAGCATCTAAAGGAACAACAAATCCATCATTCCCTTTTGGATTCGTACAGGTACATAGTTACATTGATAAGTAAATGTCTGTACAATGTATCTGTTCAAATCTTGATATAAGAGGGTTTTATATTTTATTTTTGGAGATTTACTGCTTTTCAAAAATTAATTGCAGCGATCATTTTTTGTCTAATTCCATAAAATATCAATCAAATCAATTCCACAACATGAAACAGAGAACACTCTCTACTAACACTTTGCTTAGCTGTTTGGGGGAATCTAGCTTTTTGACATGAGTCAAAGGTGTTTGCTGGAGTCTAGCATAGTAGACATTTACACCAAGAAGTTAAAGGTGGTCAACTTTTGACACAGGAAAAACATTTGTTTGCGCGTGAACTTTATATGTTTTCAAATATTAAAGAAGATGTATTAAATCTCTTTCAGCCATCAAATCAGTTAAGACAAAGAAAATTGGTTTTGTGTGAGTGTGACTGAAAGATTTTTACATTGTTTATATAATTGTAACGAACGTAGAAGAAGATGCATAACTGAACTTCTAAAGACAAACGCCATTAAGTCGCCCGCGTGGCGAGGTGATTAGAGTATTTGCTCTGGAGTCGCGGAGTAAGGTGTTGATCCTTAAATTGCGGGTACGAATCCCACTGCGGGACCTGGAGACCTGCCCTTCAGTTGAGATGAAATCTCATACGGTACCAATTTTGATGCACCAGATGTGCAATTCGACAAATGACCGATAGGTCTCTTCAGTGATGCTCATGCCGAAATGTTGGTAATCCGAAATATTTAAATAAAAATAATCTTTCAAGAGCTGAGAAGAGGGCTTCCTAAGACTGAAGCCAAATACGTCAAAGAATCTGAGCTATGCATGAGAGAGATTATCCTTAATTTTGAATTATTCAAAATTGTACTGAAATATTTTTCATTAAGCAGATTTACATTTAGAACATTATTTCCCTCTGTTTCAGTTGGCACCTTGGAGAGAAGGAGAGACAAGTCTCGGTTTCCCACAACTCCGCTGGTCACAGACTGCTAACATAGGATACGTTCCTAATTCACTTCTTCACAATGTATTTATGGCTGTAGCTATCGATCTACCTGACTACCAATCACCCTACGGAAAGTAACCATCTTTTCTCTCTCTGACTTTAACTAATTAAGCTACTTTTCGTCAAATGGAAGGGATTTTTCAATAATGGATCTCTCGTCAAGATTCAGATTCAGTTATACAGTTGTATTTCTTGTTTTCTACTTACTTTTCGCAAGGTTTTATATAATAACTACAAAAAATCTTAAAGAAAAAAGAATACGTTAAGTGTAATATCCAACCAGATAGCATATGTTTTTTTTTCTCATTAGGGACAAATTATTGCGTCCTCCTAAGTTTAAAATCCGCCTAATACTTACAAATAAACTTGGTTATTACCCAAATATCTTTTCCATATCTAAAAATATCGTACATAGGTACTGAGAATAAAAGTAAAGGATAAGTACATCTAATTTATTTTTTCACATTTTACTCGATGACAGCATACATCCGAGGTACAAACATGACGTAGCCTACCGCTTGTATCTTGGAGCCCTTGGTGTGGCTTATCATGAGAGAGATGTGGAATTTGAGGGGCCTTTTCCAACCTCTGCTGTGGTTGACAGCACACACCGACATCTTACTATAGAATGCGGGCGCGGATTAACTCCTATTGAAATTAGAACAAACAGTGGTTTCGAGGTAAAAAGAACATCAAAATTAAAGTTTTAGATAAACATTCTCCCTAGTGTAGAGTATAGACTATGCATGACGCATATCAGTCTAAAATAAATTATGGGAAATCATTTGAGAGATAAAAAATAAATTCGGCGGATTTCAATTTGAAATTCGGTGACTAATTTAGAAATAAATGTGAGATTGAAAACATTACATAGCATGGCTTTTAGCAACATATTTGAGAAGAAATTTGCAGTTTTAGCTCTATCAAGATAGTTAGTTACTATCTCTATCTTATGACAGTCCAGAAATTATTTTTTACTTACTTTGATATCCTTTCACACTGTGAGAGAATATCATTTTGGTATCCTTTCACACTGTGAGAGAATATCACTTTTATTCAATAAATAAATCAAAGTATTTCACTGTTGAAAATGTAATAAAGACAAAGAATACACCTTTTTTTATACTTTAAAATTTCTAATAAGTATTCTTTTTTCCTTCTTAGGTGTGCTGTGTAAATCATGCTACGAAATTTTGCAACCCATCTGACACCCACTGGATTAATTCTACGATTACGTCGCATGACTTTGCCACTGTAACTCTGAATATTTCTTCTTGCAACCATGGAAGTCACGTTGTACAGCTCCGATATGCTTGGCGGGAAAGTCCTTGCGCTTTTCATCAATGTGCAGTGTACGGAAAATCTAACAACTTGCCAGGACCTCCATTTACCTTACACGTGAGCTCGTGAGGTTGCAAAGAAAAAGTCCGAGGAGAAATCAACTTTCGAGTCATGTATTCTAATAATTTCAATTAAAATGAAATGAAATCTTAAATTCCTTAAACGACCATAACATGTAGTGAAATGAATTATATGATTATTTACCCGGGTATGAGAATAATGCAAAATGTTATATACAACTTACAACACCTTATTTGTGGCTTAGCAATTGTAAGATGTAAATGGCTACAAATATGGACAAATAGCCTTATTTTTATGTTTTTAGTTGTAATAAAATTTCCTATTGTAAATTAATGAGAAAATACAACAATGTGTTACAGTTGCTCTTCAAAAAATGAAGAACGGTGTCACCATCACCATAAGTGTGAAATGTTCTAGAATTACTGACAAAACAACAAATAATCAATCAATCTGCACAATTTTTCCTTTCCATTTTATCCATTTTATCCCCAGTTTCCATTTCTCCCAAAACAGTTCTACCTTCAAGCGATTAACAGGATAAATACTATGCAACATGCTCTTACAAAGCTAAAACTTGTAAGCAACATCTCCAAAGTACAAAACATATCCCATATAATGTCTAACAATCAAGATGGGGAAGGGTGAATAACACAATTGACTGATTGTAAAATTATTTGTAACATCAAGTAAGATTATACAGAAATAAATGTATTTATAACATTTTAATCTCAATGATGGCTTGCACCACCGATAATAATATTTTTTAATAAATCGGTAAACATTGCACCTTTTTTAATGGGTTGCACTGTAGCTCTCTAGTACGTCGTCCTTTCTATTTTATTATAGACCAGCGAGCTACAGACCTGCAGTTAGTTCAAATAAATCAATAAAAAAGTATTTATATAAATTTGTTTCTGCAGTAACATTGAAATTGCAATTCATATAATTACAAAGGAAAACAAAGAAATGTTACATGATTTAACTTCTTTATCCGTACTCATGATATTTGTCAATTTTTAGCATCCTTTTTGTTTCCCGTTTGTTTTGCTATGATTTTTTATTTCATTAAAAGTACACGTGATAAGATATGTATGGCATGTCACCAATGTTATGAAGTTTTATCCTCATAGAACATTTTGGGTTCAATAACTATTACACACTTAACACCGATAAGAGAACTCTAAATCTCGCCAGATACGACACAAATATACCGACCATGTGGCAGTTTATACTCTTCACATTTTTCGCCGTAACGACGCCTACTTGTAAGTTTATCCAGTAAACTTTATTGATATAAAAAAACATTAAGACAGTGCAATATTCTGTCCGTCTTTCAAGACAGATAAATTGCTTTAATAGGATATGTTAATTAATAAGCTTCGGCAAAATCTAAAACAAAATTAGAAATTAATTCCCGAGAATGCCAAGACTTTAAACTCAAGAGAATTTTCCACTCAACAGTTATTGAATTAAAAACAAACCAAATATGAAAATAAATGATTAACAGAATCTCTTTTTTTTTAAATCACGTGATATGAAAATGTGACACTAAGAGTACATTGAACATTTACATTCAAATACAGTTTAAGTTAAACAAAATCATGGGGTCATAAAGATTCAGTTTCACAAAAGCAAGCCTGCGGCAAGGCCGAAAGAAACAGCATACATTACCAGGAATGTTGAACAGATATCAAACGATGAAAATTCTTCTTTTTTTAAAGAAAAAATTGCAAAAATAAAGTTTTAGCAAGCTCTTCCTCAAACTTTGATTTAGAGGAGGATTACAGCATTATCACGCATTATAAAATTGCATTACGATCCTTTCGTTATTTGAACTCTTAAATTATACAATGAATAAGAAAACAGAATTCAAAATTACATTACATTAAGTGTTTTATTATGTCGTTTATTTTTTAATGAATATCAATGAATTTATTCGCAGCATATCGGAACTTTTCATGAGATTTGAAGAAATTGCAAGGTGTTCCGAATAGGTGTGTATCAGTTCATCAAACGTACACACATTTTTTTGCGAGGAATCAAGTCTTTTACAAGGAATCTACAGGGAATTAGAAAGCTACATCAATTTCCTCTTACACCGTGAAAAATCAGTACAGGTATAACCTAATAAAAGATTAGAAAATGTCTCAGTTTGATGAAAACTACAAGTAGCTTCGTGTATGCTAGATTTCCTTCATGAGAAATATAACTTCCATGGTTGCAAGAAGACACATGCACTTCTTTCTATAATAAAAGTTAGTATAATGCAAAGAACCATATGCTTTCTTTCTATGTTAATAGGGGAATTAACGGTTTAACCATTGCACATAAATCAAAACGGGCCTAATCGGGTTATGAAGTTTTTTCGTCAATGGTGCAATCCTTAATCCACTGTAAATAGAGAAATATATTTCATTGCTTATATTTTTATCTTCAATTATTCCTCTCAAGTTGGTGCAAGTACGAAAAATATTGTTTCACGGTATTGATGGAATATCCTACTTCTCAAGAAATCTTTAAATACAGATGGTGCAGATTTTTGGGTTTTTTTTTTCCATAGCCTGTGTACATAATCATCTTGATTTTTACCTCTGTACTTGCCAAACTGAAGTTGTTTGTTTGTTTGTTTGTTATTTTATTGTTTAACGTCCCTTTCGCGAATTTTTTGCTCATATGGAGACGCCACCACTTGCAGATGGAGAGCTGCAAATTTTAACCTATACTCGGCACCCTGGGCCATTGAGTAGTGAGGGAACATTTTCGTGCTAGTACCTACTGCGACACGAGACCTCGGTTTATACGGTCTAATCCAAAGGACCGGTCTCATCGTCCAACAGTGGGATTCGAACCCGCGACGTAAGGATTAACTCCTTACTCCGCTATTCTAGAGCGAACGCTCTAACAACTGTGCCACGTGGGCGACTCAAACTGAAGTATTACAGTTTGTGTTAACTTGACGATGCTCCAATCTCAAGGAAAATCATTCATTCATTTTATTCTATTTTCAAGTTGCAGCGACTTTCACTTTCTCCTCCTATTATCATGACCACATGGTACTACAGCAGAGTTCAACCGGAACCAGCATCTGGGGACACTCTAGCAAAGTTGGTGACGTAGTGCACATAAAACTAAACAACAATGAGGTTGCCAGGGCCACTGTTAATAGTCATCAAATTTGGGAAGCGAAGTTCACAAGTCCTACAGACCACGGTCCATACACCGTGTCTGCTGCGTCAAGTCTTGGAACAGTTCAGATTCAAGATGTTCTCTTTGGTGACGTCTGGGTTTGTTCAGGACAAAGCAATATGGAGTTTTTTGCCTCTAGGGTGAGATGAATTTGTTCTTGCAATTGCAACTGTCAAAGATACTAACAGATTAACAACATGTTACTAGTACTTCTTGGAACATTGAGTTTATCAAGAAATTATTCAAATATTAGCTGCTGTTTGTTTGTAGCTCTTAAATGCGACCGAAGAATATGCAGATAGTGCAAATTACCAAAACATCCGTCTATTTCACGTTCACAGAGAATTCTCGCCAACAGTTTTTACAGATGTTAAACACATAGATGCAGCGTGGTTAAAACCAAATCAGCGTATGTTAATACTAAATCCACCTAAACTATCATGTAAACCCTCTAAGACATATAACAATTGATATTAACTTCGCATTACCTTTCTTTTTCCTTAGAGAGTCTTCTAAAGTTTTCAGCTGTTTGTTGGCTTTATGGAAAATTCTTGTCTCAACACTTCAACTATCCCATTGGACTGGTTGAGACAAACTGGGGTGGTACAAGAATAGAGGCCTGGTCGTCACCAGATGCCTTATCTGCGTGTGCTGGAGTCCATGGTCGAAAAAGGTGTTTCAATCTACATGTATTTAATATATATATATATATATATATATATATATATATATATATATATATATATATATATATATATATATATATATATATATATATATATATTACTGTTGTTTTATACAATCACTGAAGCATAAATTCATGTAAATGACAGCACACTATATATATCAAATAGTCATTTAGATTTATCTTTTATACAGTTATCTCTTCATCTTTTACATATGAATATATTAGATAAACTTTTACAGGAACCAGTATTCAAATAGTCAACTGTACAATTCGATGGTTTACCCGCTGCTGAGAAATACGATCAAAGGTGTTATCTGGTACCAAGGTACAGCACCTTACCTAAGAAAACTGGCTTTCTTTAACTCTTCTTATGTGGAATTGCATTATTCTCTCATTGATCTTATTCGTTTCTTTCATAATTACCGAATTTTCCTCCAGCCTCACATAACTATGAAATATAAAAAGGAAAGGCTGGAAAATTAAAAATCAAGTTTTATGCAGTTGTATGGTTCTAATCAAATATTTTTTTTGTGGATTTTAAGGAGAATCAAACGCCAAACAAGCATATCATTACTCGTGTCAGTTTCTTGAAATGATAAAAGACTGGAGAATGAAATTCACCAAAGCGTCGCTGGGAACAACCAATCCATCTTTTCCCTTCGGATTCGTACAGGTGTTTTAATTCACTTGGTGTAATATTTTAATATATATGAAACATTCATTCTTCTTGACTTCGAGCTTAATTATTTTTTTTTTCCAGAGTTATAATGCTTAAGATACATGTACATGATATTTTATAATTATGAAATTCACGAAAGCGACCATTTAATCTGCTGCACTTTTGTTTTAGAATGAAAATAGAACTTTTTTGTATTACTTTTGTCTATCTCTAATAATTGAATTTTGAGATTCGTATGTATAAATATGACTAAAAATTCTCTCTATTAATAAATCAGGCATTCAAAGAAATTTTCTTATAAACGCTGTTGCAGTTAGCACCATGGAGAGAAGGGGAGACATACCTTGGCTTTCCTCAGCTTCGCTGGGCACAAACAGCTAATATCGGATACGTTCCCAATTCACTTCTGCACAATGTTTTCATGGCTGTAGCTATTGATTTACCCGATTTTCAGTCACCCTATGGAAAGTAAATAAGTGCGAATTTACTATAAGCATGTTCGTTGTAATCGTGTTTTACTGTATACACTATCAAGGATACGGTGAATAATTTTTCACTATTTTTAAATTTAAAAGAAAATTATTTAATATAGATATGTCTAAATTATATAACCTATGTTCTTCCATTGTAGCATACATCCGAGGTACAAACATGACGTAGCCTACCGGTTGTACCTTTCAGCCCTGGGTGTAGCCTATCATGAGAGAGATGTGGACTTTGAGGGACCTTTTCCTACGTCTGCTGTGGTTGACAGCACACACCGCCATCTCATTATAGAGTACGGGCGCGGACTAACGCCTATTGAAGTCAGATCAAATACTGGTTTCGAGGTTAGAATCATATGTATCTTATAATTTCAATCAAAATAATGCACATGTATGTACGTGTATGGAACGTCGTGATAGATATACGAAAATCAAATATGCTTCTTACTTAATTATTAAAAGGAAATAAAATTGAGAGATTCATACGCTATCTTTCTATTTGTAAGATTAGTTTGGATATTTTAATATGCAATGTGAATAATTTAGAGCTATTAACGACTATTATGATCAATATTGCATGGAATGTCTTTTTCCTCTTCAGGTATGCTGCGTAAATAAGACCACAACCTATTGTAATGGATTTGATACTCATTGGATGAACGTTACGATGACGTCACATGATTTTGCTACTGTAACCTTGGATATTTCTTCGTGTGGCCATGGAAACCACGTGGCCCAGGTCAGATACGCTTGGCGGGAGAGTCCCTGTCCTTTCTATAATTGCGCTGTTTATGGAAAAATAAACAATTTGCCCGGACCGCCATTTACATTCCACGTTAGTTCATAAATATGCTATGTAAAAATTTGTGTAATAAATAATTATTGTCATTCATGTTCCCCTGTTATCTTTTTTTAAATAATAATATAGTTTTTTTTTAAATCTAGAAATAAAAAAAACAAATACACGGCTCTGCTTGGGAATTATTATTATATTCCTATTAATCAATCTGGCCGTAAAATACCTTAGAGAATTCAGCTCTTTCCAATTAAACTTTGGACAAAAGTAAAGTATTCCGTGGTGCAAAAATGAATGAATTTTATTTGCATAATCTGTTCAAGATGCAGAGGCTACTCTTAATAAACGATAATACATACGATTTACCATCCGTCGCAAACCTTTTGTCTCATGAAAATTATCGGTCTATCTTATATTTTGGAGTAGCCATAAGCACTACTGTAACATAAATTTCGATTCAACTTCCCTGTCTAAACGAGCAGGCGCGCATCGAGGACTTTTTTCCGTGAACGGGAAGGGTGGGGACTATCGTCACTAATTTCAGAGGAGTCCTGTTTCCTATGAAGGCCCAACGTCATTTTTTCGTTACCTTAACAATAACCAGAGATTTTTTTAAACTCTGGAAAATTCCGGAGAGGGCGGGTTCCAGCACTACCACCAAGCCCCCTCCCCCTTTCTAGATCTTCGCATGACGAGCTCGAGCTATTCTATTCAATGTATCCAACGAACATCTGCATTCGAAACTATGTCTTATAATGTTAAGTTTTCTCAATTTTTTTTTTTTAGAATATATTTTACTAGCCTCAGTTCTTCAGGATCAATCATATTTTTATCAATAAGTCTGCTTCCCGGCAAACACGAATGGACGCCGCCATTTAAAAACAAATTTGCCAGATCGAGTGATTTCATTTTTCAAGATAATTCTGGCGTCATTGATGAATATGTTGTTTCTTGATGAATATATTGTTTCTTGAAAAAATGCTTTGACACCAGAAAAGAAAGTCAGCAATGAATTCTTAGAAATATATGAATATACTCTTCATTATTTTGTTTACCTCACATTTGCTACTTTGTATATGCATGTATTAATCGTGTTAACTTGTTTTATGTTATTATTGTTCATGACTGTATGCCGACATTGTAATTGTCAATAAAGTGAATTGAACTGAATAAATATTCAGTGGTTTGCTCGCGAGAAGGAGCGAATTTTGAAGTAGACAACCGAAATAGAATGACAAAAGCAACGGTAACGATTAACGGTAGAAGAGAGATAACTCAAGACACTATGCGAGTGAGAACCTCGAAATTAAACAAGTTTTAAATTGTAGTTTTACTTATGCCTAATTATTCTAGGGCATGTTATCTTATTCGTATAGCTATAACATGTTTTACTGAATATACATGTAATACTCTGAACAATTCAGTTCATATTAAGAGCTAAATAAAGGTAATCAGCCACCCATACAGATGCTTATTGATAGAACCCGACCCCACCCCCTTCCCATTATTTATTACTTACAAGTGTTCCATATGGAAACTCAAAATAGACACATCGTAGGTTGGCAGTTTTATTACAAGTTTTATTACAAATCATTACTTTTTAAGTATCGCAATCATTTTCAATAAAACGTTTATTCTAGGATATTTTGAACTCTTCATTTTATATGTTGAGAAGATTTACAAGAAGATGATTTTAATATTTCCGAATTGAGTACTTTGTACCTAGATTAATTATATGAACGTAAATTATTCATCTTATTGTTAATCAGCGAAAATGACAAGTGACTGAAAGGCATTGTTACAGATGTTTAGAATTGATTGTATGTATATTTATTGCTTGTGAGGTGCCCTCGGCCCGAGCATTTCGGATATTGATTTTCCGTTGTTGAAATGAGAAATCCGTTTACACATAATCGACTCCGTTTTCCATCCGGTGTGAATATGCATTCAATGCAGGTAACTTATTAATTTCTTAAATTGTAAATTTGCAATTAGAAAAAAAGTATCACGACTTTAACTAAAGAAGCAGGATCTATTTAATCATGATGAAATATGCACATGTTACATTCTTCTCGATCAGTGTGAAAATTCATAATCTTCATTTCAAATATGTTAAAAAATATTTACTCTCAACTTATATATACATGCATATTTTAAGCGTTCTAGATTAAAGTGTCCTCGTAAATCGCAAATGATATTTATTTTACTTTAACATTCTTACCTATATTTATTATCCTTATCTCTCTAGTGCACAGTAAAGTAGAAGTTGACCTAAATGTGTATATGTACATTCTATTTTTCAACCAACACTTATACATGTATGTGTCCTGTATAGAGTCGTAGAGTTTTACCGGTTTGCTGTAACGTGAACGTGAATAAGGCAGGTCTTTGCTATTTATTACATGTATATAAATTATAATTACTTATTTTGCCTTTGATGTCATATTTTCATCTTGTTGATTTCAAGCATAAAAAAGCAATATTTTCCTTTTTTTCCCCTATTTAATCTTATATAAATAAATTTTGAACAAATCGGAAGAAAAAGGAATGAAAAAATATTCAAGGGCGATTATTACGTGCTTCCTCCTACTTTTGAATGAATTCTTCCCAGGATAGTTTATTACATGTATACATAGGGGAAAAAAATCTGTGTACTCGATCATGAGAAGGATTATTAACGTGTTAAATCACCCCATCCCTTTTAAAGGAAGTAAATAAATTGATAAATGAAATATTAATAGTAATAACCCCCAATAAAAAGATGATAATAAATACATCGGAAAACATAAGCCAAAAAATAACAAAACAAAACAAATTTTCAAATTAAAAAGTACAGCTATTTTAGCACCTACCTATTTTATTTTTTTTTTATTTTCAAAGCTATTCAACACTTTTTCTTCATATATTGGTATATTATGAGCTCTTGTAATGATATTTTACGACTACTTAAATCAGAATTCATTTTAGATACATGTATGTAGATCAGTTTACTTTCATGAACGTATATGTATAACCTTAAAATTTTTACCCTGACACACTTTTTTTAAAGCTCGTTAGCGCTTCATGAAAAATAATCTTCGGTAAAAAAAAAAAGTATCATGAAGATCTAAAATTGAATACATAATTCTTATTCACGTTCAATCTATTCCTTTATTTTAAAAACACTGAAAACTTCAAACCGCTAATTTTATCCTCCATTGGATTACAGGTAGTTCGATTATGAAGATCTGAACAGAGAATTTCTGTATATTAAGTGATCTTAAGAGAAATTTATTTCACCTTGAGTAAATTTTAGATTTAAAAAAAAAAAAAGGTAGGAATAAATCGGTCAAATAGTTAGTACACCACGGACTTTAAGATATTATTGAAATCAATGTATACCTGTTTATAATATCTTTTGACACGTTAAACACGCAATGATTTTTCTTTAAATGAACAATTAATAATAATAGCCCCCTTTTTTCCCAACCGCAATCGCTCCCATAGGAATAAGGTCGGGATTATTGAATTTGATTAATGCAGATTCCATAAAAAGTTACGAATTACCAATCATTAATGTATAAACACATGAATTTCGTTTTTTAATTCAGTGAAAGGGATTAAGAACTTTCTTAGTTTTCTTTCTAAAAGACATTAAATCGGTCATGATCTATTGGATAGATGAAAATGCTGAATAAAAGAAAAGATTATGCGCTTTATTTTCTCTCTCTTTCTTTCTTTTTGTTCAGTCACATCATCTGCTATCATTAACGAGATCAAATATTATGATGTACAGCGAAATACATTTGATGACGGAAATGTCGATGCCTTTTTTTATTGAAATTGGCACTAATCCTGACAAATGCCATCAATTAGGGATTATTCATTCATTCATCATTATCATTTTCCCCCTTTGTTTTCAGTCTTCGGTTTGTTACTTTGCCATGACAATGAAGTATTTTACCTGGATCATTTTGAATACCTTCATTTTTTCTTGCCCGCCTATGGTTGGAGCAGAACAAACGATAGTTATTTCTACAGAATGTGGACTAATTCAGGGAATCAAAGATAAAAGCTATGTTTTTAAGGGAATTCCTTACGCCTTGCCCCCCGTGAGGAATCGACGATGGAATCAACCCATTCCTGTTAGCAGGGAGGTTGGAACTTGCTGGCAAAGGATCTACCCTGCACTAAAATTCGGTAACACATGCGCTCAGAAAAATCCCCTGAACGAAAGTCTAACCTTGGGAAGTGAAGATTGCTTGTATTTAAATGTGTGGACCCCTACAGTTACTAAAAGTGATAAACTACCTGTTATGGTGTACATACATGGCGGGAGTTTACAATTTGCAAATGGGAATTGGCCGACTTATTGTCCAACCGAAAGCCTCGCGATGGAAACAGACATTGTTCATGTGAGTTTTAATTATCGTCTTCATGCTTTCGGTTTTATGGCTTTGGATATACTCTCGGCTGCTTCCGGAACCAAAACATCTGGAAACTATGGATTTATGGATCAACTCGCTGCTCTCCAATGGGTGAAGGCAAACATTGAAAACTTCGGAGGAGACCCAAATAAAGTATGTATTTTCAGAAAATTTTCGTAACAAAGACTTTTTTGTCGGGTTAAAATGAACAAACATTTCATTAACAAATATCAAATATGTTAGACATTTTATTTTCAAGGTCAGATTTTAATGAATAAGATTATTTTAGCTCGGATTGAAATATTGCGCTTCAGTCTATTTAAACGTGATACTTGACTGTCGGCTATATTTCTATGTCCCGGCCGGCGAGAATTAAAATCCGATAATATGACCGACGCTTGAACGGATTGCCAATTCATTTTCATATTGGGAATATTTATTTCTTTTTGAAATTTAGAGTAGTTGCCCTTTTTAAAATAATGATTCGTCGCCCGCGTGGCGCAGTGGTAGAGGGTCTGCTCTAGACTTGCGGAGTAAGAAGTTGATCCTTACGTCGCGGGTTCGAATCCCACTGTTGGACGTGGAGACCGGTCCTTCGGGGATGAGACCGTATAAACTGGGGTCCCGTGTCCCAGTATGTTCTGGCACGAAAAAGTTCCCTCACTGCTCAATGGCCCTAAGTGCCGAGCATAGGTCAAAATTTGCAGCTCACCACCGGCAAGTGGTGGCGTCTCCATATGAGTGAAAAAATCTCGAGAGGGACATTAAACAACAAACAAACAAAATAAGGAGATGAATCAAATTTGTTATGTTTGCAACACAAGTTACGGTAGCATCGAGAGGGGGTGGGAGACGTTAAAATATTTTTCGTCTCGGCAGAGTAATTTCACAAAACAGTAATAAAATATGCAGAGATTGATAAGTTTTGAAAAAATCCTTATCCCCAGTAAATTCTTATGTCAATGTCTCTCCCGCTAAGATGTTCGAGAACAAAATCACTTGTTACATTTGTTACTAACTTTATCCAGAAATATATCGTGTTGATCAATCTCATAGACATTGAGGCGAAGCTACTGTTCAATAATTGTTTTCATTTATTAAAATAGATAACACTCTATGGACAAAGTTCAGGTGGAACAAGTGTATTTGCGCTTTTAGCTTCACCCTTCTCAAATGGCCTTTTCCAAAGAGCATGGATGTTGAGTGCTTCGCCTATTCTAAACAAAACTTTGGAAGATGCATCTCGAGATAATCGAGTCTTTCTAGAACGATCCGGATGTTCCACTGTACAATGTCTGTATGATCTTCCGGTAGATGACGTCATTAAAGCTGTTCCGTGGAACATTTATCCGTTCTGGGCTATGACAGATCAGGGTAATCTTCCAGTCAAAGGTCAATTTGACGGAGCAATGGCAATTGTCGACGGTGAGCAGTAAAATTCAAATATTTTGAACCTTTGGACATCTTATTCTGTTTTATGTACAACATGCATCATGCATATATTACAGAATGTACTAAAGAGTTATAAGCAGCTCTACATGAAACTCTTTAAATGATGTGAAAAAATCCCTTCTCCCACAAGGCAACCAGGGCGTTACTCTTTATGCATGTGGTTAAATTGTGATCTGAGCATCATCAGTACAGTGTAACTGTAAGTATTAAATTTTTTTCTTCATTTTTAAGGTTATATAATACCACATCCTCCCTTTGAAGCCTGGGAAATGGGGAAGACAATAGATGTTCCTCTTATGATTGGTAAGATATCTGATCAGGTAACACAGTTTTATTTATTTTATATTGACCAACATGTACTGTTAGGTCTGTCTTTTATTTATAAAATGGCGTAAATTCCCACAGGCCTTCATTGATAGTTTATTTTCTTCTTAGCCTCTGCATTCTTGCAAGCTGTACATGTATACCTCATTTGTAAAAGTTTAAAGAAGTTTTCAATTTTTTTACCCCAGGGAAATCATACGAGACAAAGTCAAATACTGAGGATAATAGGGTTTGATAAGATGATATGAGTAATTTTGAAACTTATCTAAAAGTTATTTATTGTTTCTTCATGAAATCAAGGTTAACTTTTAAGCAACTTAAGAATAACTTGTTTAAACTTTAAATGATTAACTTAGATTCACATTTACAACAATGCCATTTTGTAGTCCTTCAAGTAAATTTAACTAACTTTGCTAAACGTAGGATGCTCAGATTTAATCTTTGATAACAGAATTGAATAGCTGCTTCTCTTTCATTTGTTCAATCATCCTGCTAAGGTACAACTGGACAAGAAATAGATTACCAGCCTTCATATAATGATCTTTACAACTGGACATGGTCACATTATGAAAATGTCGTAACAGCTAAGTTGGGAACATTCGGATTAGATGTTGCAAAACGGGCACTGGAGTTATATCCCATGTACAACGTAACTCCGGAGTACCAGTTTACTAGCCTCGTTTCCGACATTCGTGTCACGTGCCCAAACGACATTTTAACCATGAAAGCAGCGAAATCGTTCAAATCACCGGTTTACCGATATGTGGTGACGTCAGCGCCCTCGGCCCCAATTCATCTGTTTGGACTACCTTTTCCAGCTCGATATTCTATGCATGCTTGGGACATGTTGGCGTTTTTTGGGACCATCGGTGATTATATAGCGGTGCAACAATCAGACAAAATGTTTTCAGACCTTGTGAGAAGGGAAATGTTGTCCTTTGTCCATACGGGAAAACCTTTTACAGAAACCTGGGGAACATTTGGTGATTCTGTGGCAATACTAAATACCACACTATCAGTGGCAAAGTACTACCATGAAACCGAATGTCAGTATTGGATGAACGCGGCCAAACTGTGGCCCTATGCCTGGATAAACTAGTCCTTTAAAGGCTCTTAAATTTTAGCCCAATATCTTTATCATAATAAATTGATAGAAGTACACTTCATACTTATGATTGTACTATTTGTAGGAAAAAAATTAGCATGGAATTCTACCACGACATGGAAGGGAATTATAAACCAGCTAGATCAGACATTTAAGGGCCTTTAAAATATATATAAAAACTGGTCATATCAAATCACACAGTTTGATATATAGTTATGTTTTTCTGATTCTCCCTTTACCAAACGCTTTGTAGACGCTCATATAACCCCCTGTTAAAATATTATGTTGCCACAATAAAAATTCTTTGAAAGGTCTATTAAACCGGGGAAAAAAATGTTTGCCATGCAGGATAAAGCTGAGACCTGAAACAGAGACGCGATGTTTTTACAACAGGAGTACTCGCGGAAGCCCGGTGAAAGAACTTTCGCATGATGATCGGGTGGTCAACGTTTGAATTTTGTTCGCTGCGCCGGGTCAGACTTACGATGTTAATGAAGGGTAGTGACTGTTTCTCCACCAAACGCCGGGTGTTGTAGAGCAAACCTCCTACTCCCATGATAAGACTTTCCCCGGATGCCTTGCTCTAGAGTAAGCTTTCTCCCTTGGGGGATGTTTTTCAAACTTTACTTCCCCTCCAAAGCGTCCCACCCTTACCCCAAGGGAAAAGGTATCAGAATAGATTGAGTCTATCCAAGGAAGAAGCCTAAGTTTGGAGCCTTACTTCCCCTATGCAATATGTACTCTAGAGTTATACTAACCCATTTGGGAAAGCCAACGCTAAAGCCGTGTTTTCTTTTTGAAGTCTCATTCAAGAGTGAAGCATCTCCCTAAATACGTGTACAACATCAAGGTAAATTATAAATAATAGAAAATTACTAACTTAAACAAAAGTAGTGCTCATGCTGTCTTTAGTATTAACTTTTATTTCATAGTATATCAAACATATGTACATACGGTGTATTTTTCTATGCCATACGAAATAATGCTATAAAATTTCATTGCAAGAGCTTTAAGGTTTTAAAGATATCGTCCAGAACTGTATACCATATATCTGACTCATCAGCGAACAGGGAACGATCTTAGCTACACTGTTACCAGTAGATCCCACAACTACTTTGTCCTTTGGTCTGTTTTGACTGCTGTGCTACATTGAAATAATTCTAAGTGACAATAATATTTCAAAACAATATTTGTTCGAAACAAATTTAAATCCACTTTATCCACGGATGCTTTTTGGCAAATTTGGTTAAAATTGGCATGTCAGTCATTCTACGATAAATGGACCAATTCAGAGTATAAAACATGAAAAAAAATAATTGCTTCAAATAGCAAAATGAATATCATAATTCTCTAAAAGACGTATCAGTGAACTTGAAAAAAAATAATTGTCCACAAATCTGGTATCGTTAACTTTTTACAACAATTTCAAGATACCATTGATTTTAAGGTAATGTTACGGAAGTTAATGCTTGATCAAGCCTTATTACTTTTTAAATGAAGCTAAATTTGACCATTTTTTTTGTTTCTGATGTTCAGTAAAGAACGCTTAAGTATGATTCAGGAAGTCTCGCATGAATCCGAATTTAAATTAAATTTTTGGGAAAAATATCGTTACTGAAGTTAATCGTTACGGAAGTTAATTCCCAGCAATAAAAGTTAAAATTCTCTTCAATAGTAAAAATCAAAGTTTGTTTTAGGATATAAAACAAAAGTATGAAGCATTTCGCTCCCAAAATAATAAAAAAAAAATTATAACTTTAATGCAAAAACTTTCCTGAATTACCGTTACGGAAGTTAAATTTTTAAGAGAGACAACTGTTTTTGTCTAATTCATTTTGTTATGTCGAAAATGTAAACGTCTAAAATAGCTGACTCGCATCTAGAATCGATGATATAAGGTTCCGTGGTCACTTTCAGATAAGTTTCAGTTCTTTTTGAAATCTGCATTCTATGCGTGAAATTTAACACAAAATCGTTACGGAAGTTAATCGATTTTAAGCGACATGCTTATGATTTCGCATGAAAGGAGATTCATGCATTTTTTGCGAGAAAAGGGTTGCTTCCTTTTTATATAGGATAAAAGAGATTTTTTGACATTCATTGGAATCTATTCGGAACGATTTTACGGCTGAAAATTTCATCTTGAAATTTGTATTCTATTATTCCCATGCTCACAATTACAAACAATTCATTTGTTAAATAAACGTAGAATTCTAGTTTTCTCAAAGCCAAACTCTAAGGCGATTTAACTGTGTTTGTATTCCATTGTTTTTACTATCGGTGAATACGATATTCAGGTGGGTTCCCTGGCCAGAAACACATGTGTTCATCACGAGTATTGTAATTTAAAAAAAAAAAAAACCTTTGTCGTCCATTTAACTGTTTAAATGTCTAAGAGATGCTGCTTGTTTTCCTTAACCTTGAAGTGCTGGTGTTTTGAACTACATTTTATTATATACATTTTCTAGTTAACATCGTAACACATTCCAAACAAATTTCAATTCTACCCTTTAACCTTTGAATGGGTCAACCTACACCACGTGTCTTGAATTTAAATCACAATAACATTAGTAGGGGTGTATGTACCGATGGACAATATGTGCAGTGAGGGTAGGTACATATTGTCGACAATATGTACAAAACGACAATATGTACCGTCACAGGCATCTTATCATTTTCTCTTAATTTACCTCTCTTTATAAATTCTAATTGATTATTTTCAGCTTTGATTAACAAAGGATTGCATTAATATTTTAAAAATTGTTTCCTCAGTGAGAAATGAAAATTCAAATACACTGATGCATAGAATATTTACAGTTTGCCTTTTCAATGAGCAGAATACACAGCATAAAAATAATCTTATCATTTTGGTTCATTATCCGACTGGTTTTCGGATGATCATCGTGACTCTGGTCAGCTGTTTGTAATTTCCGGTGTACCAGTTGTACCAGCCGAGATTAGTATAGGAGTCTTGTGTAAATCTGACTCGGAAGCAGTCTCGGTTCCACCATGGATTGCCGTAAAAAGACGCACAGTTTTTTGTTGACAAATCGTTGTCGCGATCTTTCGTGGAAAACTTCATATTGTTGTGGTAGCTGAAGGCATCAACTTAATTAAGATGAAACATTTTGAGATATAATGTGGTATGTATGTACGCTGTTCATACAACTATCATGTATAATGAATGCTTATAGCTTGTTTTATTTCATATTATCTATTGTTATATATATTTTTTTACATTAAGGAAGATTGGCCAGAAAGTATAATTAGGTAGGTATAAAACAAAGCTTAAAAAATCATATTATATATAGCACAATTTGACAGACAAATTTTAATATTTACCTAAAAGTCATTTTAAAGACGTGGTAGTGTATTAAGACATCAAAATATCGGCAAAGTTAAGTCGTAAACCTCGAAACAACATGTTAGAAAAAGCGGCGTTTTCATTTTCAGAAATTGTTTACAAGTATTTTTCAATCATATACATATGCAATGAAGAACAGAATTTTAAATCTTATAGCGCTAGAAGCAACAAGTATTAAACAAATTATTAAGAATATCTGGACATTGAAAAATTATATTCATTGGTAACAATGATATTTTAGCTTAATACTATCATTTATTGCAGCCCGGAGGACCGGGCTGCTCTATACATATAAGTTTAAGTGTTGGTATATGGGGATTGAGGTGGGAGAAGTTATTCAGAATTAAAGGTTTTCTAAATATTAAAAAGATTGTTAATCAGAATGTTCTTTCCCTTTATAAATTACGAGATACACAATATATTTACTTCCATAAAGTGAATCTGTAAAAATATATATGTTTTTCATATTTAATATATAAAGTTGCTTATCATTTACCATCGAAAAAACGACAGGTCCCTTTTTTTTTAGAACATCGAATTTTACTTATCGCATAAAAACGTAAAAATGTACTTTACATAGTTCGTGTTTTATATTCTTAAAGTGAAAGATATTTTTGAAAATAGGTGATGCATGTGTCTGGTTTCAAATTATATTTTATGCAGCCAACATTTACTTGAGGAATTGATAAAGTTTAAAAGGGTATCGTTTTTGTTCGATTTTCATCCGACTATAAGTTTTCAAAATATCCTCGACTATCGTCTCCATCATTTAGACGCATGCCTTTTTCACACATATCGAAGCGGTTTGATGATACAGACTCATTTCCATTGTTTACTTTATTTACTTCCCGGGCGACAATTGATGGTTACATCAATGTTTTCTTGTTTTATATTGTTTTGCATGTTTCTACCTATTGCTAGTATTTGAAATAATTTTTTTAACTATAAATCTTAATATTTACATTTTATCTCTTAAGTCTACGTCATTACATGTAACATTACTATATCATTACAATATCTGGGTGTATCCTTACATTTTATCCCCGCAAACACAGTTCAAGGGATCAGTATCCCCACAAAGTTTTAAACACATTTCAAAAGATTAGTATTCCTGGTAATCTTGAGTTTAACAGTTCTTATTATTCCTGAAAGATAACTTACACCCTGCAGTGCCCGAGTATCCTGATAATGTCAGTTGGTATTCAACAGAAGCGCTGCCAACTTCAAAGGAACTATATTGAGCATAACCAAAGTAACCAACGATATCCTCCATCTCAATTCTCAGTCTGGTCCATCCAGAAGTCGTAAAATGGTTGATAATCTTTAAACCTGATTAAAAAGGTCATCGTATATTACGTATAGTGATCATCCTTATAACATTGAAAACATCTTTGTTTTCCAAACGCCATAGTTTATATTTTTTAATTTTCTATCATAATGTATTCTGTATATTATTTTGAAATGTAAGCAGGATGTCTTCTGAGAAATGGAGTTTCTACGGAGTATAAATGTGCATAAAAACTATCCTATATTTTTCATACGATCAAGAAACTTTTTCGGGTAAAGGTCGAGTTGCTGCAGGTTGTATTGCAGCTAAAACAATCCGTTTTTTCCTTAAACTTCAATATGCCAACAAAGGAATTGACGCGGTTAATATAAGTAATATCCTTAATCACAAAAGGGTCCAGTCTTGTATTCCACTATATTTCAAGTTAAAGACTACACCTTGTATTTCCTACAAATATACATCGACTATTGCTTCCAAACTTTTTAATTACAAGAAAACTTTACAGGGCCTGGATATCGAATATCTGAAACAGAATCCTCCATCGTGTTCATGTTCTTCTTCGCCCTATAACTATAGTCCTGCTGGACACGTTATTACTGGTGACGTAAATATAGTTAATAATGAGGATCTTAGATCACTAATTTTAAAATGTATCAGATGTATGTTAAAATCTCGAATTAAAAGATTGAGAGGCAATATGAAAACCATCTATCCTTCTGTATTCAATAATCCAGATGTGAAAAAAGAATTAGATAGATTACATGATCAGTACGTACTGGTCCCTGCTGACAAAGCAAGTAACAACAGTGTCTTTGTTTGTAAGGCTCATTATATTAAATGTATTTTAGAGGAACTTGGATTTAATTCTACAAGTGGTAATCCAACTTATACTCATAGTTCCCTTTCTAAGGAAGAAATTCTTCAAAATCATATGTCAGTTTTGAATATTTTTAATATTCCAAACAACCAAAATAAATTCGAATTACCATATTTATATTGGATTCCGAAACTTCATAAAAATCCTTACAAACAAAGATACATAGCGGGTTCCAGTAAATGTTCAACCAAGCCTCTATCTTTACTCCTCACTTAGATATTAACAGTGGTGAAGGAGAAACTTCAAGAGTACTGTGCAACAATATATTCGAGAAGTGATGTAAATCAGATGTGGATACTTAAAAATTCCAAGGAACTTTTGGAAAATTTGAAATCACAAGATTTTACCAAAATCAACAGCTTAAAAACTTACGACTTTTCAACTTTATACACAACCATTCCCCACGATAAATTAAAGTCCAGGCTTTTTGATATCATTGACAGCTGCTTTTTCAATAAAAATGGAACTCGTAAATATACTTACCTTGTCATTGGTCATTTGCAAAATTATTTTGTTAAAAAACATTCTGATTGTACACACAAGTACTCTGAAGTTGACATTAAAAAGATGCTTGAGTTTCTGATTGACAATATCTATGTGGTTTTTGGAGACCAGGTCTTCCAACAATCTATTGGAATTCCTATTGGTACCAATTGCGCCCCGTTATTAGCAGACCTTTTTTTGTATTCATATGAAGCAGAATTTGTCCAAAATCTTGTACGTGAAAAGAAAACACTTGCTGTGGCGTTCAACTCGACATTTAAATATATCGACGACGTATTGTCAATTAACAATGGCTATTTTCATTCTTATGTCGATACGATATATCCTGGTGAACTTGAGATAAAAGATACCACAGAGTCTGACACATCTGTTTCATATTTGGATATTTTACTTGAAAAAGACGTTAATGGTAATCTAACAACCAAGCTTTATGATAAACGTGATGACTTTTACTTTTCAATCGTCAACTTCCCTTACTTATGCCGCAATATACCTTCATCACCTGCATACGGGGTATATATCTCTCAGTTGATTCGATACACAAGAACATGCTCTACGTATGTACAATTTCTAAAACGAGGTAAATTATTGACAAATAAGTTGATGAAACAAGAATATCAGCCGTCTCGTTTAAAGTCATCATTTCGTAAGTTCTATGGTCGATACAATGACCTTGTCAGCGAATACAATTTATCATTGAGTCAAATGCTGACTGACGTTTTTCATACTAATTGTTAGGCCATTATTTACACACTGAATTGTCGACGGATTTTTCCGTTATTTCCCGATCATGACAAGGAGCACACGGCGAGTGTGACCGGTCGGCAGGGGATGCTCACTCCTCCATGGCACCTGATCCCAACCCTGATGTTTGGAGGTCCGTGTTTGCTCTGCTCCTATTTTGTATTGTATAATGGACTTTTGAGCTTGAATACTGTTCGTTATCTCCATATATTTCATTGCATCATTTTTCAATGGTAAAAGTTACCCACTGACTCTGTATTCGTGCGTAGCTTCGGTCGATGTATTTGTTTAAGATGATTTGCATTTTAATTTGTAAAACCTAATACTTTAAACAAATAGGCATTGATTTCAGTTGGAAAAACAAATTTAAGAAATGTACCGCCAAGGATATTCATTGATTTAACTCTTTCTATTCATTTTTTTTTCAATGAATAAAATAAGTGTTACCTATCCAATGATCCCCTTCTTTGTTTCCAAATCCATTTTCATAACTCGACCAAACATCGTTAAAGGGAACGTCGCCAATTGTTCTTCTGAATATAGTCTGAATACATAGATGTATAATTGTTTGATAACTAAAGACGATCTACACACAATGAAACACCTTAGTATTAAATTCAACATCATTTTTTATAAGTTCAAGTATTTTAAGTCATGTAATATTGTAAAAAAAATGCATTTCAGTTTACCATCCATGTATATCCATCTTTTATTTCACAATAAACAGTGGCTGGATTTCCATGAATATTTATTTCATACACGCCACTCTCGCTGATTTTAGCACCAACACAATCACAGTCTGAGCATTCTGTAGGATTAAGTGAAGATAACGAACAGTGATCCATATTAGAATTCTTGAATACAATACAATTTTGTTAGCAGGGCGTACAACGAGGATCACTGGAAACTCCAAAGAACATAACAGGTCTCTTAAAATACTTTATTCTATAATATAATGTTCATGGGAAAACTTTCCATTTGCTTAAATTCATGTGCAAAAACAAGATATTGAAAATATCTATTGTGGCATCACTATATTTTTGTTGTTTTCATCGTTGAGCCAGTCAAAAAATGTGATCAACAAGCTTCACAATAATGATATCATAAAATAAGAAGACAAGTAGCTGTGTATGAATTAACGTAATTATCAACGATATTTTTTTCTGGCCAGATTGGCAAGAAATTAATTAAACTACTGTAAAAACCTTATTTTCGCCCATTGTTATTTATTTAAATATTTATTTATCTTTTTGTATTTGCCTTCAAGATCATTTTGCCGTTTACAATATGCGATTTACTTTTATTTTCATTGATCTAAATTATTCATTAATTTCAGAAAAGTGTTAGTTTCAAATCGTTCCTTTGTATCAAAATAATGAAAACAAAACTTATTTTAATTGTTAGTTAGTGTGTTTGTTTAACGTCCATTTCGAGAATTTTTTGAGACGCCACTGCTTGCCTGTGGAGGGCTGCAAATTTAAGACCTATACTCGGCACTCACAGCCATTGGACAGTGAGGGATCATTTTCGTTCCAGCACCTACTGCGACACGGGCCACAGTTTATAGGTCTCATTGAAAGGACCGGTCTCCACGTCCTGCAGTGGAATTCAAACCCGCGACGTGAAGATCATCTCCTTACTTTGCGACTCTAGAGCAAACGCTCCTTACCACTGCGCCACGTGGGCGACTAAAACTTAATTGAAAAAAATGTAGGTCCACAACAATACAAGACTGACAATAATACCTTCTTTTATAACCTTCATATGCATAATTGTAAAATAAATTCTATGCACGCCAATTAAAAATAATCATTTTTACCAGACGTATCAACAATCTCTGGTTTCCGAACCATCATGATAATCTTTCCCAGCGGCTTGTAACTTCCATTGAACCAATTATACCATCCAAGTTCATGAAAGTCATCCCTCGTAAAAATTATTCTTGAACAGTCTTTGTTCCACCAAGGCTCGCCGTGAAAAAGAGCACAGTTTTTACTCGTAGACATATCATTGTCCCGATCTTTTGTGGAAAAATTCATATTGTTGTGATAGCTGAATGCGTCATCTGCATTTATAAATGTGTTAGATCATAATGAACTTGACACACCTTAATTATGTTTATTTTTCTCAAATTTCAAGTTATTTAGAGCATTTAGTATCGTATGATGTGAAATTTACTCAAGAAGTGCGTAAAAAACTCGAAATATATGACAATATATGACACATACACCCTGATGTTCCTCCATAGCCCGTTACGGAAAGTTTATAGTTTGTTGACGTGTCACCAACAAGGAAAGTACTATATTGTGCGTAACCATGGAAACCATCAATATCTTCCATTTTGACCCTCATGACCTTCCACCCAGACATTGTAAAGTAGTTCAAATTGTTTAATCCTGGAAAAGAAACATAGTCAACATCATCCGTTTACGTACTACACTCATTGAAAAAAATGCATTTACATATAGTGGTTATAAATTAGTATTTACTTGTAGTGATTATAAATACATGTAAGCATTTACATGTGGTGGCTATAATTTTGCATTTACATGTACATGTAGTGGGTTTTTTCATTTGCATGTCGTTGCTATAAATTAACATTTACGTGTAGTGGTTTTAAATTAGCATTTACATAATGGTTACAATTCTGCATTTACATGTAGTTGATAAAATTTAACATTTACATTAAGTTGTTATGAAACGTAAAGTCAGATACCTTTTTTGATAAAATGAATTATGTACCATAAAGAAAGGTGCTTTTATGCTTCATAATTCCATGACTATGATTTATTGTGATTCAGTAAAATTAAAGAGATTGCACATTACCAATCCAGAAGTCTCCATTGATGTCTCCAAACCCAGATTCGTAGTCCTCCCATATTCTGTTAAATGCCACATTTCCTAGGGTCCGTCTAAAGATAACCTGTCAATGGTTTTCGAGGGGTGAAAATTTTCAGTGTTACACTCAACTTCATGCAGTATTTATTATATTATAATGAATGTTTTATACAAATACATATTACAGTGGACCTTGCGCGCATAAATTCAGTCAATATTTTTTGGAAGAACACCCGTCGTCAAGCAGTGTTGACTGTTGCTATGCTGGAGGGCGTGGCTTCGTTAGTGTTTTTTAACAAATGTTTCTCGACGAAACAGATTCAACTAATTTACATGAAGGTATAATATAACAAAATGAAAGTTAATGGAATATATATATCCTGAAGTTTTATAGCATTGTAAAATGTTCCATATGATCGTAAAGATTTCTATGATAACAACGACCAATGCGTCACTGAGTGAAGTTTAAGCAAAGCAAACGAATGAACATGATTACTACATGTATATGATTTGCTGAACGAAAAATTATTTAAGGTAAATGTAATTTAAATATTTTTAAGTGAAGCGGTTCTACTGCTTTCACAATGTCTTAATGAAATATATTACCATCCAATTAAATCCCAGATCAACGTCACAATAGATGGTGTTCGAGTTTCCATCAAGAGTTATGTTGTACACACCACTATTACGGTTTGTGTTTCCAATGCACACACAATCGGAACATTCTGCAATTCAAAATCAAATAGAATTTACATACATAAATTCAGTATGTTTGCTCATCGGAACAAAAAACTTACAAAAATATTAATTATAAATTACATACCTTATATTTAGAATTGTTTTTAGTGTAATGCTCGAGAGAAATATTTAAAAAAAAAAACATGAACTTCAACAAAACCTTCTAGCCTTACCTGATAAAAGTGTACTGCTCTCAACAATTTGAGTTACAGTAGACGACAGTGTTGGTGACCCGTTAGTTGTATTGTTTGAGATAAATGTTTCTTTCTCGACTGAGGTTATTAAATCAGAACTTGTTGAACTAATACCATTTGAGCTTAACAGTTCTTCTATTTCGAAATTTGCCGTGGTTTCTCTCTGGAATTAGAAATCGTGAAGTCAGAAAATCTGTCCTCTCTAAACATAGATCTGTTGTGGTTGTGTTTATTTCTCCCTTATGTTTGATTCACTGTAGTTATTTGAATTATTGATGATATTTGAGTAATTTTGCTGATCGTATAGGTTTACGATTTTGGGACAGTGCTTTGTATATACATACACTTGTTACGACATCTCCATAAATAGGTCAAAAAAGCTGTTTGCATGACAGAACTTTTTTCCTTTTTACAAGGATTGAAGAATATGTATTAGGATTTATTTCTTAAGATCCAGATTGATTGCTCGTTTATTGTTTGACGCCTAGTCGGCAATATTTCACACATATTTTGGCGGATAATTTAGTTTATGTAACCGGTTTTTGAAAGGTTATAGTTTTTTTTCTGGCAGCCCCAGTGAGCCTACTATTGGACATTTGCGGAATTGTGTACAGTGGACAACAGACTTCAGACTTCGGACTTTAAATAAGGGGAACATCTCAAAGTGTAGAATTTATAAATCACCTTTGTATTTGAATAAATACAATGGCTTTTAATATTACTGTTATCAAATAAACTGCATTAATCTGCGACATTTATAACAGGAACAAAGGCGGAACATTTGGATAACACTAATGTTTCAGTCAGTTTCTTCGGAATCGGAATTCGAACTAACATTGAGAATGTATTTTATTTTTTCTCTCTTATTTATTTTTTTTAAATTATTTACTTTTTCTTTACTTTATTTTTTATTTGTTATAATAATTATTACTTGAATTTTAATTTTTTTCAGCTTTTAAAATCGTTTTCTTTTTGCCTGTCTTAACCCCCCCCCCCCCAAAAAAAAAACGAAGGAAGAAAGGAATCAATGTGCCCTAATGTATATCGAATTTGCAATGAAGAGAGATGCACAGTTGACTTTGCAGGAAACATGGATGCAGATTTCTGATCTCAGCTTTTTCAGAAATGTAGCGTGTTATTAATACCGATTTGAAATTCAATACCCTGATGTGATGTGTAAGACGCCATTTATATACAGACCTTGCATCCAAACTTAAATACTTATTATCAATTAAGTATGAAAATGTTCATTAATTGTCGGTTATCCCCCCCCCCCCTTCACAAGAACTTTTCATATAGTGAAATTCTCCAATGCAAATGTATGCAAAATTAAGATGGAACAAACTACCCACCCATCCACCCCCACACATACATACACTCCCCGCCCGCTTGATGTAATTTTCGAGTTTAGACAATTCTCCTTTTTCCGTTTGTCAAACATTTTTTTAAAGATAAGTTGTTGAACCCCCACCCCTTTTTTTCAAAATCGATGCACGTGCCTATTCATTACGGATCTTATGAAATAACTGGAGAATTTAATGTTTTGGAATCTTCAACAATATTTAACAAAATGGTTTAAAAAAAGTAACATGGCAATTTTTTTTTCTTTGAGAAACCTTTAATTTATTTTCATTAAATCTTGTTTCAAATTATCTACTGTGTTTAAAATTGGATATTTTTAGTTTTTCTACAGTAAAATATGCAATAAATGTTTTGATAAATGCTTTCCACTCAATATTCCAACGTTAAATGTCCAAGCAAAGGAGAATTGAAAAGCATGATGCAGGTATGACCCAAAATTGTGCACGCAGAGGGTGAAACTGATGGAACGTCCGTTATAATAGATTCTCCTCATTGAACCTCAACGCGTATTTTATTCGGAATATCGAAACTGCCCTGCCATACATATTAAAATAACAACTGATACAGTGTAATTAAGGAAGGAAATATACATGTATACTGTGCTTTTCCTGGCTAAATGATGCTCAAGACAATTGACGACCAAAAAAAAAAAGCTGGCCAAGATCTGTACTATCCCGATGATTACTTATTTTCGTCTTGAGACAAAATTTATATATTTAATTTCTAGACAATATTGACGTCGTTTTTATCATCATCAAATAATCAACAAACTATGCAGGAAATCTAATAATAAAAAATAATAAAATTTGATAAGGTTTATTTATTACATAGATCGGAAGTTGTACGTTCAGTTTGTAAATTAGAAACGTACAGAATGTAAAGTGGAAATGAAGCGTGTGTACCATTCATTTGAAGATTGTAGTAGTACTTGTATGAACTTCATATTTGATGCTTTTCAGTTTAATAATTCATACTGATATAATTTAAAACTTATTTCGAGACATTTCGATGTTGGAATTTATATACATCATGTACATGTTTATACACATATACCTGTAAATTCTTTGTAAATTTTCTAAATTAAGCAATCAAAATACGAATTTCAACATCCTTCGATTTAAATTTATCTATAGATATTAAAAGCCTATACATTTCAGATGATTTGTTGTAATTTGATATTTTTTCAAATTTTTATACCGCTCCCTATGAAAAGTTCGCTTTAAATGTCTGAAGTCCGAAGCCCGCTGTCCATTTTTCGAAATCCAGAGAAACGATCTTTTACGTGCCAAGGGGGTTGTAATCCTTGAAACGGGGCACCATTAAAAGTCCCATCCGACGTACTTGAAATTTATAAATATGTTAACTGTTAAAAATTAAATTTCTCATAAAAACTGCTGTAGCTGTTTACTTCTAAATTCTTCTATAAAAATCAGTTTCATGTAAATATTCTTAAATTGTATTAACATTAGCATTTGTAAAAAGTTCATACATCGTTTTCACATTACCAAAAAGTCTACTTCGAATAGGCGAAAAATCGGAACATTCCAAAATAAGTCAAATTATCTGTTTACATTTTTTCTATAACATAAAGCATAGTTTCATCACAAAACTCCCAATAAATTTGCCAAAGAGAATTAACATAAAGTTTAATAAGATATTTCAGTTCAGTGTAAGGAATTTTGAATAAAGTAATTTCATGTTGAAGTGCCGTTTTTGCATCACTACCAGCCTTCAAGTTTCTAGGGATGCCGATATGACTCGGAATCCAACAAAAAATTCCTATTTTACCTTAATTTGTTGATTTAAATGACAATGCTGAATTAAAATATCTAAAACTAATGGTTGATAAATATTCTTGCATTGTATGGTTTGTAAGCAAGAGAGCGAGTCTGATAATATTGTAAATATGTTGTCACTAGAAGATTTTATATATTCAAATGCAAGTTGTATGGTTTTTGCTTCTGCTGTGAAAATCGTTGCTTCATTTGGAAGCCGTGTAAAGAAAATAACTTTAATCACTGCAGCTGATACAACTTTATCTTTTGAACCGTCTGTATAAATCTCAAAGAACCTTTAGAATGTTTTATTTCGGCCAATTTTTCTTTTAAAAAAAGAATTTTTTTCCGATTTCTCAAATTCAGTTTAAGATATATCTACATTTGGTTTTATTTACTTTCATGGCGGTATTTCAAAAAATCTTGTAGGTTTTAAAATGTCCAAAGGAAGGTTTGGATCCCTGATAGGTTTTTTAGATCTTAGACCAAAGGGTTTTGTACTTGTTTTCCCTTTATGATACAAGTCTTAGTACTGCAAATGTAAAACACAATTATAATCAGAATTATTAATATATACTTTTAATTTCAGAATATATTGTAAGGTGGGTTTAATTCTTCTTAAGTCAAGAGGAGGTTCATTTGCCTCGACGTATAAAATATCGACAGGAGTACTTCGAAAAGCTCCTAGACAGAGTTGAAGGCCTTGATGGTGTATTGCATCCAGAGCTTTTACGTACATGTATGAAGTTCTTGCAGTACCATTCACACTACTGCCAAAATCAAAAGATCTGGAAAATAACTTTGAACCTATGCTACATACAGCAGTGATACATCAAATTTATCTAAATGTAAGAGTTTGGTGCATGTTATGTTATATGACTCTAGACTTTAGAATGTTTAAAAATTATTTGAACGAAGTATGCTGATAACAAATAGTATCAAGCTCAAAAATCCATTGAAACAATACAAATATAAATCCTAGATTTTCAGAAAATTCTGAAATCAGGTGTAGTGCCTGAAAACTAACTAAGTTTTGCTTGAAATATCAGTTTTCACTGTAGTAGATGCTGTCTAAATGGGTAAGTGTGTATATAAGAAGCTGGGCAGAGCAATCACAAGCCTCTAAAAACGTCAGCTCAGAGGTGGGATCAAGTGCCACGGAGGAGTATGCTCCCCTATCTACGGTCATACTAGCCGAAAAGATCTGTAATCTTTCATTAAGTCAAATGCTGATGGACGTTTTTAAAACGAATTGTTAGGCCATTATTCACACACTGAATTGTCTACGGATTATCCGATATTTTCCGATCATGACAAGGAGTATACGGCGGGTGTGACCGCTCGTCAGGGTAAGGAATGCTCACTCCTCCTTGGCACCTGATCCAACCTCTGATATTTTAAAGTTCCGTGTTTGTTCTGCTTCTGATTTCTATCGTTTAAATGGACTTTGAGCTTGAATACTGTTTTTACTCGCGTAAAATAAGGAATCTACAGTATTTCATTCCGTGTGTAAATAATGGCCTAAATATAAGTATAAAAAACTTCATCCACTTTTCTCCTAGACTTGGGTCAGATAAAGTTACATTACATATATTCAAACATTTTAGAAATTCTTTAAGTGTAGAATTCTTTCAAACAGCAAGACAGTTTTTTAACATATATAGCACATTTCATGGAATGTACTTCCAGAAAATTTTATATGTATGATTAATTTCTACAGTTCAGTTGTCTGATACAAAGAACTGTGACCAGTGAAAGTGGTAAGATCCGTGATTAATGTTGTGTTTTCTGTACGTGTCCTATATGTAAACCTATAACATTTTAAATTATATTTAAGTAAAAAAAAATGAAGATAACGAACACTGATTTATCTAAACAATCCACTAACATTACAAATCTGTAAACAAGGCATAAAACACGAAAATTCCGGAGGTGGTATCCGGGTCCTTGGAGGATCCTCTGATGACCCGAAAACCTGTCGTTATCCTATTGTATTGATCACGTAGACAACATATTCTGTAGTAAAATTTAATATAAAAACAAAAGTCTAACAATTGGTATGAAACATGTCATCCAAAATACGACCCAATGAAATATTTGTTATCTAGTTCATTATGACGACCATAGATTTTTTCATGTTTTATATATTGGGGGAAATTGCTAAAAGTTGGGCTCTTTGAATTGGTTACCATTTTCTTTTTCGTCTAGTACATGTAACTCATTTAAATCAAAGTATCGAATGTACTTTGTGTCCATTAAATGTTTGTTATCAGAAAGATACAGCAATGCTGCAGTGAGACTTATAATGAAGGTCTTAATAAATATTAATTTGTTTTACATACCTTGAAATACTGAACGTTTGTTGTATCCCGTCCTGAAGCATCAAATTCATTTCCAATGAGAGAACAAACCGAAAAATTTGAATATATTCGAAAACCATTACATTCTGCGTTCTTTGAACACTCTGAAGAGCAGTATAATGTTAATGGAAAATTGTAAGTAATTGTTTCTTTTATGATAAAAAGGACACTTATTGCCTCATTTCCGACAAAAAGGTAGTTGTCTTCCACAATTGAAATTGCATCACTGACATACTTTTGCATTAATATAAGCAATAATATTGCCAAAAGTATTCTCTTAAAGTATTTCATGAGCTTACTTTTAAGGAAAATAGGAACGAAATTCAATGCCTAAAATCCTGCTTTTAAAAAGTACAGCAATATTCATTTGACCAATAAAAAATAATCCGTAGCAGATCAATAAATTTTGCTAATTATCTTTAAACCTCTGAAAAAACGTATCCAATTAAAACGGAAACAAATATTATGAATATAATTTGCGCAAATGTACAATTAGTACTTTAATACCATGTCCTCTTATTTGTCAAGGCATTATTAAAACAATTGTGATACTATTAAAAATGTTTAGGCAAAAATGGCTAAATATCGAATTATTTTTTAAAGGGTTTCATTTTCTATTTATTTCCTTTTCTTAAGATCTGTTTGTTTAAACCCTTGTAATTCGACAATATATGAAAGACGATTGAATAAGCACTAATCTTTCTGTGAAATAGTGTTGTTGTCTTCTAAATTTGTTTTAAGAAAATTAAACAAAAATTCGTACTGGTAGTTTGATTAACTATGAAAAAGGTAAGACAAAGAACAGCGATCAATCTAAAACAAAAACTTGACAAACAATACAAATCTGAGAACACGACATAAAAGACTCCCGGAAAATCCAAAGTTTGGATCAGGTACCTAGGAGGAGAAAGCATCCCCTGTTGGTCGGTCACACCTGTTGTGAGCCCTATCTATTGATCAAGAAGACGAAACATCCCGTAGTCAAATTGTCAAATTTAACATAAAAACAAAGGCCTAACAATTGGTATGAAACAAGTCAGCAAAATAAGAACCAATGATAGGTTATAATTGCTAACGAGGTCATTATAACGACCAAAGAATTTACGAAATGCTGACTTTAAACGATATTTAAACGAAAAGTTTTATTTTTTCAGTCGAATTTATCATCACATGTACGTTAGGCGTTGGAATATTTTTTTCAGAAAACTCTATAATTTTTGTCTTCAAGATGATTGATGAGAATTTTAATTAAAATATAACTGCAAATAGGTCAGGGTCTGTGGAATCAAACCATTTGGGGAGGACCAAAGAGACTCCTGTCTTGTAAGAATTTCCTTGTGACATATGGATTTGTGATGTAAACAAATCAATCGTTTTATATATTTTATGGGGAATGTAGATGAAACATATTGTTGCGCCTGCATAGCAAACCTTTAGTGTTGTTTAGAATGTATGATTCATAGTTATGTTTTCGCTATAGAACTAAGATGCATGTTTATCCTTGGTACAACGAACGTTTGTGCTTAAATTTAATTACATGGATTACGTTTACCTTCAGTGCACATTTAAGCATATGTTCCATTCTAGTGTCTTTAGAATTATTATGATTAATTAGAAGTCTTGTAGTACTCAACATCAAAAGATTTATTTATTACCGGGATTTCGTTATATGACATCTGGAAATGCATAAGATTCAGTAATTGCAGAAACTTTATGGTAGAGATGAATATATCCGGGTTGTTAGTAGACGAATAGTTTCTGAACATATAACTCTAGTAATGATAAGCTTAAAATAATTATAAAATTATAGATATATAAAACATATCTTTTGGAGTATTATTAGTAGGTTGGTTTATCCTAGTTTATTGATAAAAGTATTGTTTCTGGAGTTTTACATTTTACATATGATGTAGTCGCAGCATCACTGCGTCACAGTATAAAAGCAGCAAACTCGAAGCAGCGTTGTCAGATCCCTTGCAGAGAATTTAGAAAGAATATCTAGATCGGTGTCAGTCGGTGCCAATCAAGATTAAGGTAATTTCATATTTTAGTTAAGTTAGAAAAGTTTGTTTTAGAAGTTCTTAGCCTATTTAGAAAAAGCAAATAAAAATGTGAATTCTTTAGAAAATATTTGAGAATTTTTATTAGTTTAAAGTATTCAGATATTGACTACTCGGTGTGAGATTCTGAGCCAAAGTTTGTTTCTTAAATTATTAAAATAAATTTTAGTATTTTTGAATGAGCAAGTTTAGAATAATTAATTCCGTTTTTATTGAGATTTAGCTAAAGTTAATTTACGGTCAGTTTGGCACCGGCGGCACCGAGCACCGGGTTGCACCGTGCACCTGGTCGCACCGAGCACCGAGTAGTATATATTAGACCATTCTAAGTTGTATAGGTTATAAATGATGATAAACTTTCCTATCTACGCATGACATGCTAGCATAGGATGGGGGGGGGGGGTTGGACTTTTCGTTATTTGGATTTCAGATATAGTTCTGATTACAGTATCAGAGTTCCTGATTGTGCCTGTATACTAGTTATACTTAGTAGTAGCAGCAGATAGCACCGAACATCTTGAAGCTTCGGAAATCGAGAAGTAGTACAGAACACCTAGTAGCACCGAACACCGAGTAGGCCCGAGTACCGAGAAGCACCGAGTAGCACCGAACACCGAGCTCCGTGGAAGTTCAGCAGTATACTTAATATTGCAGAGACCTTTTTAATATTTATTGAACTTTATTGTCTTTGATGCTATAATAAATATATGTACTGATGCTATAATAAATATATGTATTAACTGTTTATATATATTTCTTTCCTTTATTTAAACTAGGTACCTTCGAACCCAAATATTGTAACATGCCTCATAGGTACCGAGTTGATGTAAAATTACACGTTACTATTGGTGGCAGCGAATTTACTTAAATTTGCTTATAAAACCCAAAACGTTACAATATTAGCACTGATTCTATGTAATTTCAAAATTCTTTGGGCACGCTATGTCACACATATTTGTGTGAAACTCTGTGTATCATTAAATGCATACATAGCAACGGTTTTGATGGAAGTATTTGGTTTTGATAGAAACTTAAAAAAATATCAAATAAAAGAAATGTTTTTAAGTTTTTAAAAGACAAAAAAAAAATCAGTTTGTTTTAAATGTTTAATGGCAAAAGATATTTAATAGCCCATTAAAATGTGTTAATAGTAATCATCAGCATATTTCACTGCCCACCTATGAGAGTTGGGGGGGGGGGGGTATACCTTTGCCAAGTCATCTGGTGTAAACATAATAAGTGTCAGAAAAATAATATGTAAATGAGTCTCAAAGATTGGGAATGAAATATATGAAGATAACGAACAGTATTCAAACTCAAAAGTCCATTAAACATTACAAAATAGGTGCAGAGCAAACACGGACCTCCAAAACATCAGAGGTGGGGTCAGGTGCCATGGAGGAGTGAGCATCCCCTGACGACCGGTCACACCCGCCGTGTCCTCAATCCTCGATGGTAAATTTCAATATCATTATTATTTCTGTAAGTTCTATCAATTTGCACTTTTTATTTTATTTCAGGCAGAACAAACATTATAGTACAGAGTGTGATAGATTGTCTTTGAAACCAAGAATTCAAATTTATAAATTTAAAATGTAAGATATTAGATTTATTTCAATGTACATGTAATTTTCATAACCTCTCACCCATTTCTTTGTTATTATGTACCCTGGCCTCCCGAAAAAGATTGTTAGGGGAGGGGGATAAACAGGAATCACCTTATCCATCCGCCTGTCTGTCTGACAATCTAGCTGTCCATACAATCATGTCCATGCTAAAGCTTTGTAACACAGAAACACTGAAAGCACTTACTTGGTACTGAGCAAGGACCCGATATATTTTCCTCCCACAATATGCATGCTATATGGCAGAGTATTTATTTAATTATTTTCAATGAATCGCATTGTATATTTTAAAACATCAAAAATGTAAATCAAAATAAAAAAGAAAATTGTTTACCTTACGTCATTTTGACTTACCGAAATTGACACCAACACCGTGCCGTGCTTCATTATACTTGTTGTACTATTTGCTATAAAAGTAAAGGATGAAATTCTACTGTAACATTGAGGGAATTAAGTTACAGATGAAGCAAAGAGTTTTCTTTTAAGAGCTGAGCTGACGTCATTCATACAGAGCAGTGGCCCTTATTTTAATTTCTACTGTATTGTCCTTAGCTCTCTTTATTATCAACCATGTCTTTGTCTGTTCAGTTGTCGCTCTTACACAGAAGGTCGACAGAGATCAAACGATTGTCTTATCAAAACTAACATTTATAGTCGGTACACTTACCTCTTCTTTCTTTGCCAAACGCATTGTAGAAGTTAAGAGCAAGGGTCTTTGCGGTGAGAGCATTAAATCAAAGGACATATTGCAATGCTAACACAGAAAGCAACTTTTTTCCTGTAATTTTGCTTTCCACTCACCCTCAACGGATTTAGAGTTAAAAACTCATCAATTATTGGTTGATTCTAATTTCTAGAACACAAGCAGAGAAATATTTAAACTGAAGATGATTTATTTCATAGAATATGACATTTGAAGAGCACTAGTACTTATAGCTGAAAAGAAAACTCCCTGAACGTACGACAGAATATACAAGTATACTTAAATAAGTTTCAAAAAGTTAGTTACACAGATAAAATATATCAAACAATGGATCAAAAGTTTCTTTATATTTGAATTAAGAGACTACAAAACTTCAAAAAGACAAAATAAAGATAAAAGTTGCAGGGTACAATTTTTTATTCATCTTTTATATGTAATATTTATTCTTTTAAAAGTTAAAATTTTTTAGTCGCCATTCACCGTCACCTTTAAATGGCAATACATCCATAAATCCGGTTTATCAATTGACTGGCTTTCGGATGATCATCGTGATTGTCTTTAGCGGTTTGTAACTTCCGGTGTACCAGTTGTACCACCCGAGGTCGCTGAAATCGTCTTTTGTAAACTTAACCTGTAAACAATTTTTGTTCCACCATGGATTGCCGCAGTAGGACGCACAGTTTGTTGATGACACGTCATTGTCGCGATCTTTTGTTGAAAACTTCATATTGTTGTGGTAGCTAAAGGCATCAACTGTTTCAATTGTAATTTTAGAACATTTTTAAAGAAATGCGTGTATATAATCTGCTCAAATAGTTTTAAGGGATTATTTGTGTACCGTTTTCTAATTTTTGATGTGTTATCATAAAATAATGTTTCTGTTTAAGACAAAAAATATCAGAGAGAACAATCAAGATACTTGTAGGCGTAAAACTAACCGTAGGCAAAAGTCCTATTAAAGAAAAATTAAAAAGTTCTCCAACTCTAGATATTTGTCAAACATTTTATTCAAAATTATAGTAGGTTTATCAAAAGGAAATCTTATGTGAAAATCTAGGTAACGCCATTCCAAGTTTCTTCCCTGTTGAACGTCCAGCCATGTTTCAGAATCTTTCCTACCTATTCACAAATAAACAGTCATAAGCCAAAAATATAATGACAAAAACAACAACGCCTTTATAGTCATTAAAAAGAACTTTCAATAATTTTTTTTTCTTTCTCATAGAAAGGTCTATTAGAAAAGGCAAGTTATCAAATGCTTTATATGTATCTATAGATATATATGAAGCAAAAATGACGAAATTTAATTGTCTTGAACCAAAAAAAATCAATTTTAGGACTACAGATGTACCGGTATATTTTTATCTGACGTGGTGTTTCAAAATCCAAAGAGCACGCTGACACTAAACATGGAAAAAACTTTGAACGGCCTTAAGTCAAAACCCCAAAGAAATGATGATACAGATTTCCTATCACCTCAATTCCTTCTCCTTATATTGACTTTTTAACATGATTATTCATCGTATCTCCATCGACATACGGTTCTTAAGGAAAGATAGCAAAGGAGTATATAAATTCATTCTTGTATTGTATTTATAAAGAACACACAAATGTAACTGTTTCATACTTTAGAAATTCTTTAAATTTTCCGCCTTGTACATGCTTGTTTTATGTTTAACGTCTTTCTGGTGATTTTTTAAAACTCATATGGAGAAGCCACCACTTGCCGTTGGAAGGCTGCAAATTCAGACCTCTACTCGGCGCTCAAGGCCATTTCTTTTTCGTGCCAGCATCTACTGCGACCCGGAACCTCGGTTTAAACGACTCATTCGAAGGACCTGGCCTTATATTTAGCAACGTTCACAATGTTGTGCAGTCGCCCGCGTGGCGCAGTGGTTAGACTGTCTGCTCTAGAGTCGCGGATCCTTACGTCGCGGATTCGAATCCACTGCGGGACGTCGAGACCGGTCCTTCGGATGAGACCGCACAAACCGATGTCCCGTGTGGCAGTAGGTATTGGCACGTAAAAGATCCCTCTCTACTCAATGGCCCTGATTGCCGAGTATTTGTATAAATTTGCAGCCCTCCGCCGGCAAGTGGTGGCGTCTCCATATGAGAGAAATATTCTCGAGAGGGACGTTAAACAACAATCAAACAAACAAACGCAATGCTGTGCGATTTTGTTGTGTAAAATAAGAAAATTCCACAGAATTTATTATTCCGTCTTCCAATTCTTGGTCCTCCAAATGAGTGAAAGATTTTCGAATGTGATATTGTACAAAATTCAATCAATAAATGATAAGAGTTATGTAGAATAATTCTTTTACTATAACTTACATCCAGCAGTGCCCGAATATCCTGATAATGTCAGTTTGTATCCAACAGAAGCACTGCCTACCAGAAAAGAACTGTACTGAGCGTAACCAACGTAGCTAAGCACATCCTCCATCTCAATTCTAAGCCTGCTCCATCCAGACGATGTAAAATGGTTGATAATGTTTAATCCTGATAAAAATAGAGTATCATTATTATTGATATGGGATATCAGATATGGGATGGGGTTGGTAGATGAACTAGGGGTTACAGAAAATTTAGTGTTTAGATGACTACAAGCTCCAGGGTTTAGCTCACTGAACATGTATTTAAATGTGTTTTTTTTCTTGGGGGAGGGGGGGGGTACTATTCTAAGTACATATCCATATATCTACCAAAATGTCTTTATGCTTCAACATGAACATTATCATCACCTTCTATCGATTCCTTTTAGGCTCATGTAAATCTTGTTTCAAGTCGAATATGAATGAAACACTAGAATTGCACTATTACGTAGTTAATTTTGTATCATCAGGTCTCATTGACCCTTTCATATATTTAAGAATAAGTTTTATTTAAGAATATTTCCATCATTTACAACATATAAATAAATTACATATATAAACAGAAATACACACTTCGAATTTTTGGTCTGTAGCAAGTGTCCTTAAAATCTGAATAAGCTTAACATTGCAATGCATTGATTTCAATGACGTATAGCTTTACCTATCCAGTGATCCTCTTCTTTGTTTCCAAATCCATTTTCATAACTTGACCATACATTGTTAAAGGGAACATCACCAATAGTTCTTCTGAAGATTACCTGTATTTATAATATATCATTTCATTTATCATTCTGTGTGAAACTCACAAATTAAAAGGAAAAAAATATAATATTGTAGACGAATTGAGCAAAACTTGAGTATTAAATCCAAAATCATTTTCTAGCATAAGTAACTGTATTTTAGCTTTATAATGAAATATTCAAAATGTATCATTTTTCATGTGTACCATCCAATTATATCCGTCCTTCATTTCACAATATACAGTGGTTGGATTTCCATTTACATTTACTTCATACACACCACTTTCACTGGTTAAATTTCCAACGCAATTACAATCTGAACATCCTATATTGAGAAGATACATGTAGCTTATTATTAGTTATTTTCATCTTGGTATACATATGCAAAAATATGCAAATAATTGAACAGGTATATATAGTGGGGCCTCGTTAACCTGACGCCAATAATAATGAAACTTAAACTCTAAACGTGATTATATTACTTTTATATCTACCAGTTATACAAGATTTGTTTCTGTAATCCGGATGCTCTATTTATCCGAACGATTTCCTTTGTGTACAACTTTAAAGAGGCTTGACCGTAAAGCCAGGTTCCGCCCATTTTTATTTTTCTTCCAATCGTCGCAGTATGATTAAAAAACCGTTGTTTGACGTCAAACAAAAAATCCTATCGTGAACAACGTCTATGTCATCGTCTTGTGTCCTTCATAGCTCATGATGATATTTTACACATAGGTTATGTCTTTTATATAATAAAAAGATTGAGATATGTCTGAAATAATACTCGTGTTAAGAGATGTAGATTGACAGCAGACTGACAAATGTTAATTATTATGTGCTTGATTAAAATAAAGTTTTAAAGTACAAAAATTTCATTGTTGATTTATTATCTAATACACTAACGGATTACAATCTAAAATTTGTATACGAAATGGAAAATAATTTATTTTTACCCGACGTATCAACAATGTCTGGTTTCCGGACCATCATGGTTATCTTCCCCAGTTGCTTATAGCTTCCCGTGAACCAATGATACCATCCAAGCTCATTGACATTGTCTCTCGTGAAGATCATTCTGGCGCAGTCTTTATGCCACCAAGGTTCGCCGTGAACAGATGCACAATTTTTATTTGGAGAAACATCATTGTCCTTGTCTTTTGTGGAAAATTTCATATTGTTGTGGTAGCTGAAGGCATCATCTGCATTTTATAAGTAAAGTAAGGTTAAATGCATTTTAACCTTTTTAATGATTTGATGTCAAATTTCAAGCCTTTCGATGTATATTTCACGGAATGCGTTAAACTACGAAATAGAAACTAATAAAACGTACATCCAGATGTTCCGCCATACCCCGCTACGGAAAGCTTGTATTTTGTTGATGTGTCACCAACAAGGAAATTACTATATTGTGCGTAACCACTGTAGCCATCGATATCATCCATTTCAACCCTCATGACTCCTAAGCCGGTATTTGTAAAATAGCTTAGATTATTTAAACCTAAAGAGAAAAGAGAAAACAAAACAATGCCCAATTACAACTTAATTCATTAAAACGCAAAATACAGTTAATCAAATGTTTCAGTATGTTATGAAAAAAGAAAAAAATTACTATATATTCACTTTTCCTATTCTAGTATTGTGAGATTTTTTTTTTATAGTTTTTAAGCAATAACCTATCCAAAAGTCCCCATTGATGTATCCAAACCCATTTTCATAGTTTGTCCATACTCGGTCAAAAACCACATTTCCTACAGTTCGTCTGAATATAACCTTTTAAATATCAAAATAGAACAAAAAAATAAATATAGAGTGAAAAAAAGACAGGTAAACTTTTAAATGAAATTAAGAAAGAAATTAACATTAAGGTGAACAATTCTTGAAATTCTGACGTAATTGTCAATGAATGAAATTGAAGCAAAGAAAAGATAGGATTATATACGACTATATTATTCGAACATTAAAAAGGTTAATTATAGTATATAGAAAAAAACTACATGTTTTATTTTAAAATAAGCTGAAATACAAAAGTTGTGTATATTTTTCAAAATGTCTCGTAGAAATTTATTACCATCCAATTATATCCGTGAATCATTTTACAATAGACTTTGACCGAGTTTCCATTAACATTTATTTCGTACACACCGCTGCTGATATTTGTTTTCCCAATGCATTCACAATCTGAACATTCTAAAAGAAACATATATATTAAGTTGAATAAGACACTTGTAAACCTATAGGATTTAGAACGGACATTTTATGTGAACATTATAAACTTAGAATATATTCAAATCATATTCATTTTAGTTATTAATAGTGGGCTTACATGTATTAATTAGTGACAGCAAAATAAAATAAAGGTTTTTTTAAACCAGGATTGACATTAATGGTGTACAAACAGTGACTTTATAATTAAAAAAAAGAGACTTCAATTTCATGAAATATAATTATCTTGTTTAAAAAATTGAATTTTGATGTTGGTACAATGAACGATAATTTTGTAAATTCTTTTGTAATGGAACTGATCGGAATAGATATATCCCATAAAGATAGATCCCCTCGATTCTCAGTAATAAAATGTGAACGGAAATGTAAAGTTACTACAGTAAATCAGTAAAAATCGTTTAGTACGAACACGGATATGGCGAAGTTTTTCTGGGTCCCCTGCAAAATTCTTTACAATTCTTTGTTAAATTTTGTGGCAATACGAACTATGATATAAGGAATAAACGGATAGAGCGAATTGTTTTGAGTCCCATAGAGGTTAAATATAATGTAATTTACATCTTTTATAACGAATTTTCAAAGATCTAAAAATTTGATATATCGAACTGACATTATTTTTGTTTAGTATTTGTATATTAAATTCAATTCCTAATAAAACCTTAGTTATCCAAGTTATGTTATGTAATAATTGCTTCCCTGACATATTTTGTAGTAATTCTTGATGGAGAACGTGCATATTTTCTTGAAGGAGAACGTGTGTATTACGTGACTGGTAGTAGTTCTTGAAGGAGAACGTGTATATTGCGAATTCGCTTTGTATACCTATACGAATTCGTTATACGGATATAACGAATTACTGATATACGAAGTAAATTCACAGGTCCCCAGGACATCGCTTTAACTGAATTTTACTGTATTTAGATTCTTGACCAAGAGTAGAACTTTAAAGTAGGTAAGTTAATGAGCTTAAAAGAACTTCTGTGGTACAGAGATGGGAACTTGGCCGATAAATAATGCAATACAATCATGGGTATATACCTTGATTTGAGGGTGGTGCCATGTTGGGGTTCACAGGTCAACAAACAAAAATATGTACAAGCAGCAAGGCGATGGTAAGGCAACCAATAAGGTGTATTTTTATATCAGGGATAATGAATACCCTCTGAGCATAAAATACTCTGTTTGCTGGAAAAGCACACTTCCTTTTTGTCTTTTATCTTTCGGACTTTTCTTTTACTACTTTTAAGTTCTAGTTCTCGGCTCTTCTTGAGTATTTTGGATTAATCTTAAAAACTTTAGTTATTATAAACTGTAAGTGAGTTGGTCTATTTTGATGACATTCCAGGAATTATAATCAAAAATGTATACGATCACGGTGAATTAATAACATTTTGAATAAGATAAGAAAAAAAAATCATTGGCTTACACACTGCAATAACTGTGAAGTTTCCCAACCAAGAATAATCTCAGTCTTTTGAATACACAGTTTATATTTACATTCATCCTGAATCATTCACATGCAAAACAGAAACTAAAAAATCAACTGCACCAATTCACAAATATTATCATTATTTTTACCTTGTAAAGGCGTAGTGCTTCTGACAGTTTGACCAGTAGATGGATATGATAACACCTCGTCAGTCTTATCATATGATGTTGTTTCTTTCTCGGTTGACACCGTGAAATATGCGCTTGTTGATGTATTACCATTTGAGCTTGGATTTTCCTTTGTTGTCGTCCCGAAGTTTGTCGCCGTTTCTCTGTTGGTTGAAGTCAGAGGTTCTGTAGTCTCTGGACCTTCGTCTGTTGAGCTTATCACCTCTATTGATGTTGACTGATGTTCTGTAGTCATTACAACTTCTGTTGATAAGTGGGTACTTTCGCTGACGATCAAAGTGTACGATTCTGGGGCAGTGCTCTTTAAAACATGCATGGTCATGTTACGAGCCCTCTAAAATACACCAAAAGCAGCCGATGACCATGATGTGATGCTTTAAACCCAGTACTTGTTATTAGAAAAAGCGAAAGTGTAAAAAAAAAAAGTATTTTTAATGAAAGGATTTGCAAACACTGCATGTTTGCACTAAATGGACAAAAGATATAAAAGTTTTTTCATTATTTATACAGTGTTGCAGTTTAATGGGTAATTTTTTTTTTTTTTTTTTTTTTTACAAACTTGATCTTTTTTTTAATTCAAGTGTCTCATCTGCCTTTGCAACTCTTAAATTAAAAAAAGATTTGTTCTATAAACGTTAAAAATTCAAATTGTATTTGAGACTATTTTTCTGCATCAAAGTGAAATCCTTTTATGAAGGTAGACATTTGTAATAATACTCATCAATGGTTATATGTTGTGCGAGATGTTTTTTAGAATAGAAAACCATTTCACCTTACAAAGACATTTTTTGATTTATATATATATTTGATGTCCCAACAATGCTCGTTATCTGAGTCAACTGTTAGAGTTCCTTTTTAAAAATTGATGCGTCGTTCTTACCTTGAAATATTTGACATTTGTTGTACCTTTTCCTGAAGCATCAAACTCATTTCCAATGAGAGAACAGACAGAAAAATTGGAGTTTGTTCGAAAACCACTACATTCTGCACTTTTTGTGCACTCTGAAGAGCAGTATAATGTTAGTCGAACTCTGTTACAAATTGTTTCTTTTATAATTAAGGGGACACTAATTACCTCATTACCAACAAAAAAGTAATTTTCTTCCACAACAGAAATGGCATCACTGACATACAGTTGCATGAAAAAAAGCAAAGATATTGCCAAAGATAGTCTCTCAGAGTGTTTCATAGTTCTGGCTTTAAGGTAGTAGAAATTTTTATTTTTATATAAAATTCTGCTCAAAGATGATCATAAATTAGACTAATAGTAGATCAATATATTTTGCTCATTATCTTTTAAGATCAGAAAAAGATGTATCCAGTAATTGAAAGCAAATATTTGGAATCTTGTGTGTATATACAATTAGTGTAAAATATCCTCAAAATTCTTAAGATATTTTTGAAACAGTTGTGACTCTACGTAACTATGTTTGATTTAAAGTGATTGTGCATCGATTTTTTTTTTCCATCGGGATTTTTTAATCTTTAGGAACTGTGAATTTAAAAGCCCTTTTTTTTAAATTTGGCAATGTTAACAGATAGGAAAAAGAATTGAATCAGTAGCTTACTCTGTAACTTGTTCCATTAAATAGTAAAATTAATAAAGAAAAATGCATATTACAATCATGTACAATATTACGAAGTAGAGTTTATTTTAGTTGATTTAGTCTATCATGAAATAGATGCTTTGAGTTAGGATTTCCTCTGTTTTCCTTGAGTGCCTCACTGGCTACCAACAATGTAATTTCTCTACAGATATATTGCTATTTTGGATAGTTGTAATAGTTAATTCAAGATTTTTCTTTGATATTGTGTTGAGGAAAGTTATGGTGTACAGATGGAAATACATTGTGTATTCTAAATTACTGAATTCATAGAGAATTTAAAAAAAGGCCACTGGTGTCAAGGAAAAACTACCACTGGCGTCAAGGTCAAATACACTCGGTTATATGAATGTTTCAATCCTGAGACCATATCAATCGTTTCTTTGAATTATCGATCTGTAGTTTACATACAGTTCAGGATTCTGTTTTTTATGATAACAATTGCAATGTTGGAAGTGACCATTTCGCCGCTATATTTCAGTGCAAATAGTCAAACCCTCAAAAGAGTGTAAAACTGTTACCTCCCGGAAACTTCGTGGCATCGTGGCTCCCAGAAAGCTAACCCGGCGTTCGCTATTACGTAACAGAGCTGTCAATCAGGATTACGCGTTGACCAATTAGCGTGTTGATCAATCAGCATATATGCCGGTTGACATTAAGCTGTATATCAAAGAACTGTAGACGTAGAGCAATGCGTGTTTATGTACAATTTAGATTTATTTTTATTTATGTACTTAAGGACCCTCTCTACACTGCACCCTATTTTCAGGGTCCTTTTGTGTAATTAGACTGACCCACCATTTGACATATAAGTAGAATAAATTGTAATCTGAACTGTATCACATAATTTAAAATAAATCCAAGTATTCTAAACATTATATTAGACCAAGATAGAGTGTTTGAAAACTTTATTTGCATGTATTTTATCCATTTGAGTAAGCGAAGGCAATTTTTCTTTTCTATTACTTCATTGTCTTTGAAGATTTTTCCTGAATAAAAAAGGCACGCTCCCTATATTAAAAATGAGTTAGTTAATTTCAAAATATCCTCCTTTATGTTTTATAATTTTCTCAAAGTCCAAAAAACATTTTTCATTAGTGTATAGAGGGTCCTTAATATTTATAAATCATAATTCTCTAGATAGCTTTAAATATTCCGATGACTAAATAATTAAATCATACTTTGCGTATTTTTTCCCATCTAATATTATTTTTAAATATCTATATGTCTATTTGAAATTTCGTAATTATGTCCTAGTTGATTGTTATATATTTTTACATTTATTTTCATGTTTAAGCATTTTAGAGTAATTTTTTTTCTAATATTTACCGCAATATAAATTTTATGATAATAATAATAGATTTGAGCTATGGTTTTTGATGCTATTTATATTTGTATCAAACCATACAAATCTTAAATCCCATTAAATGATATAGCTAAAAACTTTCCGTGTATTCACATTTCAAATGCTTTAAAATTACCATAAAATATACTCAATGTTTGAATTTCTCGTTGTCTTATATTTTTCTTAACGCGTCTATTAATAACGTATCTGCAGCCTCATTGTGGCACTTTAGTAACTTTAGCGCGAGTTTCTCCGTGTATATTTCCATGCGTGAGTATACACGAAAATGCATTTGGCATTCAAGTCAATTTCATAGTTGATAGGGTAGAAAAACACCAAAAAAGAAATTTTGAAACATGTTCTGGCAAAATTAAACTATATTCAACATTCTGTGAAAAATCTACAGAAAAGTAAATTGTAAATATGATTTTATTCTTCTCTGTTTGATATATAATTACATGTAATATTTGTTAATAGCTCAGTTTTTTCCTAATTTCAGACAAATCATCCAATTAAAATGAAATGTAAATATTTCAAAAATTCATGCATTCAACAAGATGAAGTTTCTTAAATACTGAAACAAATAATCAATAGAAACCGTCGAATTCTGCTTTTGTCTTGAATTACAATATAGATTTTTTTTTTTACGGTTATATTGTTTAACTCGTATACTAAGGTTATTCATATATAAATCTAACAGACAACACAAAACACTCTTTGTAAGATTTACCTGTACATTAATCAGATTGAAATTAATAGAAGATCCACTTTGCATATGATACAATCTGAATTTTTCAGAGATTCAAACTTTTTTTCGTTCTTGACACAGTAAAACTCATTTATTAAGAACTCACCTTTAAGGAAATCTCGACGATAAGGCACTTTTTTCACGATTCCCAAGAAGACTTTTCATTGTTTATTACATTTTCAACAGTGAAATAGTGTGATTTATTTCTGGAATGAAAATGATATTCTCCTACAGTATGAAAGGATATCAAAATATGTATATATATATAAAAAAAAAAAAAAAAAAAAAAAAAAATCATGGCCTGTCGTACGATAGAGATAGTAACTAAACCGTCCTGATAGACACTTAAACTGTCAATTTCTTCCCAAATGTGTTGCTAAAATTCCCGTTACAGTGTTTTCAATCTCACAACTGCTAGGCTATATGACTTCTCAACTGCTCAACTATGACGTCACAGCCCATGACATGGTTTTAAGAAAAGACATAGGCAAAGGGAAAATCAAAGAAAATGTAATAAACAGAGAAATCACTGTTTTGTATGTAATTTTATTTATTTATTTTTTTTTTAATTTCTTTATTTTATTTATTTTATTTTATTTCTTTCACTCGTGAGACAGGTTTTTTTTAAAAAATATTTTCACTTATGCTTCGCACTCGTGAAAATATCAAAAAAGCATGTCCCACTCGTGAAATAAATTTCATATCCAAGTACAAAACATTGAATTCCCTCTATTTCTTGCACGGATATAAAGAATCTCGTTTAAGGAGGCAAATTTTGAGGTCCCAATGACTTCCTTATATTTCCCTTTTACTGTAGTATTGAAATAAACCGAAATTAAAAATCACAGCAGCAATTTGGTTCTACTTTCTATTATGAGAGATATTCTTGTTAATTTGCAATTTAAATATTTTAAAATTTCAAAATAATTTCAAAAATATATGAACTTTTAATATGTTGCTTTAAGAAAATATTGGTTATTAGACGTTAATAAAACATAACGATTTGCAAATCAATGTAACTGGGGCTAGGAATATGCAAAAATATGAAAGTATTGTTATCCCTATTTTTGTACTCATGTATTGTACATAATTGTTTTATGCATTGAAAATAAGAAGTAGAGTTTTGTAATTGATGTTTAAGCATCACACCTCTTTTAAGCCTCGCTTGAGAACGGACATCTGATGATTCCAATTAGTTTTGTTTCTTCTAAAATGGTAATTATAGTTTAAATCTATAGGCGATGCTACTCATTAAACTTTTTGTTTTACCATCCTTGCATGGAAATTCACATCTGATTTTTTTTTTTTTTTTTTTTTTTTTTTTTTTTGAGAATTATTTCTAATTCAATGGTAAATTCATGTAAATCTACTCGAAAATTTTATTAAGACATATTTGGGGGTAATTTCTTGATTGATATATTAAATATATATAAGGGAAATTAAATGTTTTGAAGTTGGATATCGGATTAATTTCACGAGTGGGAGAGGATTTTTTTATATATTTTCACAAGTGCAAAGTACGAGTGAAATATCAAAAAAATCCTGTCTCACAATCTTTTGACATCAATAAACATTACCAACAATCTATGAACAAAATTTCGGATAACAGAAAGAAAAAAAAGAAA